CCTAAGTGAAGAAATATTAATAAAGAGTTCAACCCCGGGCTGGGGCAGAAGTGGGTATCCTTATAAAAGTGAATATCTTTGTACTTTCTATATTAATATTTCTTCACTTAGGGCAGTTATGTTACTTTAAGAGTTGTTGTAAAATGTGCTTTATATATATATATATATATATATATATATATATATATATATATATATATATATATATATATATATATATATATACATGAAGTCAACGAATATTTGAACATTATGATATTCATTCTATCAGTTAATATTGGAATATGAATTTAAGATTCGAATATTCGGTGGTTTTCGAATTTAACAAAAAAGATTTCATAATACATTTTAAATGGAACAGTGCAAGAATTATCGCCGTCTTATTTACAAGCGATCACATTCGCTCGCCTGATTACATGCTACTTCTTTCTTAGCTTATAGATCTTATAGATTAATACGTTTTGAGTAAGTTGAAAGAAAAGTAAAGAAGAATTATTAATGTAATACAAAAAGTACTTTCATAGTTTTTAATAGATTAATACGATAGGATCTAGAATCGAGGACAACGAAATGATACCCTTCTTAGAATGTCTAAAAGACATGAAGAGCATACTTATCAAAATAAATTTCATTTATCTTTAAATTACAAGCTTGACAGAATCAGATTGTAATATTGTAAAGGGCTCAATTTCAGAATAACGAAACAATTACTGGTTAGTTTTGGGTTTAATATATTCCTAAATTATAAAATCATTATCGGGAAATTAATGACCTAACATAATTGTCTATGAATTTTTTTTCAAATATATTTTCAAAACATCGTATCAAAGATTATATCTCTTTTTGGGTAGATCATTGTAATTAATTACATGCTTTTAAATCTGAAGAGTAAACGACAATCTGGCCCCTGGTAAGACGACTAGTTCGTCAGTTAGAGTGTGTATAAATACAGGCATCATATGTTAAAATCATACTTAGGTTTTTACACTTAAATCAATTATTTATTTCAAAGATTGACATATCAAATGTAGAATTCCTTATTGAACACCTACAAAAGACTACATTCAATTCTACATTCAAATACCTACATGTACGCAAAACCTGCCATGAAAGTACATGTATGAAGATGCATATTTAAAATGAACCAGATTTTATCGAATATTCGAATATATTCGAACACTTTCATTGAAAATTCGAACATGAATTATTGACAAAATTGACATCCTTATTAAGTATATAAACAGGCATAACTCCTGGAAGATTTAGAATAGAAAATAATAAATGCATTCTTACAAAAAGGAAAATTATCTATAAAAAACTTATAATCTACGGCATTATTAGTGTCCTGAAATCACAATACTTAGTAATAAAAATGTATCAGTGCTCTTTTCAAATAACGTCACGGTTGCTGTAATTAAAACTTATTATACACTATAAATAAGGTATTCAAGTATGTAGGATTGAATATCCTAATTGTATAAGAATAAAACGTGATTTCTACAGAAAACATTTCTTTTAAAGCAACTGAATACAGAATTCGCAATCGGTTAACTGTTACACGTTCTGACTGATTAAGCGGTTAATCGTATCAAAATACATATTGATACAAGTAGATTCCATTTTCTCAAGTATTCTTTATTCATATATACACAAAAGACTACAAAAAGGACCTCAGGAATATTGTCTTTAAGTTTAATCAGAACATTCTGTGCATTTTATTTCAGTTTCCTAATACACGAAAACCAAGAAACACGCCTAAGGTATCAGAGACATTAATAAAAATATCTCAGAAGAGATATTCTTCCGTTTTCACTAAAATCAGAAGTGATAAAAGAATTAGAAATAATACATGTAGAATATGTTATGGTCCAGCAAACAGCTTGTATCAATATCATCTTTGTTTGTAAGGCTCAGCAATGTATTTTAGAGAAAAAAGCAGATATAGGTACAATATTGTACTTTTACAGTAGGGTTATCTTCATCTTTGACCCGTCAGTCATTTTACGGTTGACTGATTTCATCCCGTAACTTGACCAAAGTTCGCGCCCGACTCAAGGGAAGTCATAAATTACAGGTTTAAAAAAAGGCTATAATTTAGCTTTGCAAGAGTATGTTTCTTTTCAAGAAAAGTATTGTAGCATTATTCCGGAAAAAAAGGTTATCGTTTCTTTTCCATGATGATTTAAAGGCTTCCTGAAAATGAGCACATTTCGCTTGCTTCTGTCAGGAAATTCAAAATGAAAATGAAAAAGCGTTGCAGATGCAAAGATCTACATCACGCCTTAATATGCTCATACATCTTACTAGCTTGATTGACAGTTGTGGACCGGCAGTCCAATGATTCTTACACTGCACCAATTGCAAGTTCAAGCAAATTCGACCTCAGCAATTTTAAAGCAGGCATATGTTTTTTTTTTTTTTGTATGGTGTTTAACGTCCCTATCGAGAATTTTTCACTCATATGGAGACGCCACTACTGCCGGTGGAGAGCTGTAAATTTTGTCCTATACTCGGCACTTACGACGACTGAGCAGTGAGGGATCTTTTCGTGCCAGCACCTACTGCGACACGGGGCCTCGGTTTATACGGTCTCATCCGAAGGACCGGTCTCCACGTCCCACAGTGAGATTCGAACCCGCAACGTAAGGATCAACTCCTTACTCCGCGACTCTAGAGCGAACGCTCTAACCACTGCGCCACGCGGGCCTGGCGACAGCAGGCATATGAGAAAGACTGAAGTATATTTTTTTTTTCGCTCAGATCAAGAAACTGATGATTTTAATTCATCGTAAAATTCTAGCTATAATTATTGTGCACGGTAGACTTGCACGCTGTGGCATTTTTTTTTTTTTTTTTTTTTTTTTTTTTTTTTTTTTTGACGGGGATGGGTTGTGGAAGGGGGGGGGGGGTAGGGGATGGATGGTTACCTGTCACTTTCATCAGTTTACATATAACGTTCAACATTTCAGTTATCGATTCTCAAGTGTGTTGGTATCAAGTTTTCTACCAATGTTAAAATGTGTTATATTGTGCATACAATAAGATAAAAACATAAAATATTTGTAGTTCACATCTTGTCGCGTTTCTTTTGCGTGTCAATATATAGTTGTAATTTAGAAGAGCTTAGTTTTAATTCTAATTCTGCAAATCGATCTTATACTCACAGTTTACTCTTTCAAAATCAACTTCCAGTCTTTCATACTTTTAACTTTCCATTCAACGAAGGTGACTTCTATGTACCTTACCAATTACTTTTTTAAAAAAATTATTCTGATTCTACACACAAGTACTGTGAAATTATTAAAAAGATAATAAAAACGCTGGAGTTTCTCATTGACAACGTCTTTGGAGACCAGGTCTTTCTACAGACCGTTGGATTTCCGAGAGCAATTATTGTGCTCCTTTATTATATACGAGGACCTGTTTTCATATTCCTTTGAAGCAGAATTTATTCAAAAACCTCTACATGAGAAGAAAATACTAGCTTGGGCTTTCAACTCGACGTTCATGTACATCGACGACTTTTTTTTAATGCGCAATACTAACTTCCATTTATATATCGACTAGATAAATCCCAGTGAACTCGAAATTAAATATATCTCAGAATCTGTAACATCAGTTTCATATTTGGATGTCTACTAACTATAAACGATAAGAGACAACTAACAACAAAATATCAAACGAGAGAACTTCAGCTTTTTTATTGTCAATTTTCCTTACTTATTTATGTAGCTGTATTTTGCTATCATCTGCAAATGACGTTTAAGTCTCCGAACTTATATGATACTCCAGAGCATGCTTTAAGTTAAACTGGCAGGCCACTGATAGATAAGTTGATGTAACAGGGATTTCAACAACAACATTCTGTATACAGGTACTTATAAAATTCATTTTCTTTATTTTCATTTTCTTGACTAGCCTCTCACCGTACATAAAATACGTTAACATTTACTAAGATGATAAAACATGGACAAGTGAATCGCGATTAATTATTATTTATACTTCCTTGATTTGTCGGATTCAGCAAAAGACAAAATTGCATGCAATGGTAAGTTTGTAGGTAGTTTACTATTAAGTTTTAAATCGCAGGCTGTTACACTTTCTTGAGTTTGCATATAACATTGCTGCGAGAACCAGTAAGCTTTTTATTATACTGCCTTTAATCACTGCTGTAAAAAATATTTCTGTTAATATTTCTTATATCACGATGCATTATATATGCTCTATATATCCATTAATGGTGATGTTGTACTATTTTAGTCTTAATATTGCACAGCAATGAACAACATTAATACATTTATGAGCATAATAACCCTTTTAGTAGATTAAAATGAAAAAAAGAAAGTTTTATTATAATTCACATACAACTGGTATATGAATTAATGTCTTTCAGTCGATATACTGTACACAGGGTTATTTTCGTCCAGTTCATTTTCGCCCTATAACACTTGAAAAAAAATTGGAACCATTTATATTCGCCCAGACAGAGTTGTGTTAAAGAGATAATGTTATTTTCTTTGAATTCGTCCGTTTTTAATTCTCCCTCTGGCTAAAAGGGCCAAAGGGGCAAAAATAAAATGGGGGCAAGAATTTCCCTGTAGATATTATTAAATGATACAAAGATAAAAAGCAATTCCTTATATGTTTATTTATTTTCATTCATATGTCAATTCGTTATGTCAAGTGAACATGAATTAAGAGACACCACAAAGTATGTTATCTCTTCATATTTGGATGTTTTATTGAGACAAAGACATTGATTGCAAAGTAACGTTATGAAACCGTGATGGCTTCATGTTTTCTATCGTCATTTTCCCTTATTTCTGTAGCAAATTATCACCTGCAAATGGTGTTAATATCTCCTGATTAATTTCACATACAAGAGAATGTTCTCTTTCTCAATTTCAAACCAAAGCAGGTTACTGATAAATTAGTTGATGAAACAAGGGCATCAACCATCTCAAATAAATTTAATATTTCAAAAATTGAAAGGCCCACAGTCACAAATAGGGGCTTTTAATAATATTAACCAACTTCTTCCAGAATTCCTCCTGTAAAGCAGAGCCATCCGGGGGGTAATCGAGATAATATTTCCTGTCTATTAAATCCTTGATATTTGTATTACAAACACCATGAAAAAGGTCAGGCATAAGGACAAGATGGACAAATCCCAGAGAATCTCGCGCTTTGATACCTTCCATTTTTGCCATATTCAGTTCATACGTTCTCCATCTGGATCTCATATACGCTTTGGATACAATACAGATTGTTCTCCTACTTCCCCCGATAGCTTTCATGATATTTTCAATTTTTCCATTACCAAGTTCAAAGTGAATGTCACGAATACATACATTTATGTTGTGAGATTCAAGTAAAGGTTTTACCTTTTGAAAGACGAAATCTCTGTCTGCACCAACATAGGATATGAATGCATCATAGAAATATTGGTTTGCACTTTGTTTTCTGTCACACAGAGTGTTCATGGAATCTTCAGATAAGTCCTGTATGTTCAGATTCGGCAAATTTTTATTCATCAGCAAAGGTTCAGGGTCCATTCCAGATAAACGAATCTCAAAATTGTGCTTTTGCTTAGTTTTATGAATGAAGTACCTTATATGCCAAATATATTTCCTAATAATGAGTACAAGTGCCAAACATAAAAAGAGAGTTATAAAAGCAGTGGCTGTTACATTCAGAATATCGAAATTAATACAGTTCATACGAAGAATAAGAAGAGATTTTTCCATTTCCCTAAAATCAAACTGAGTATTCCGATTGGAGCAAATGTACTGTTCTATGTGAACAAAATGATTCTTGTGTTCATTCATCCAGGCAAGAAAAGCTAGATTCTGGCAAGTACACTGAAGCTTGTTGTAGCTAAGGTTGATCAATACTTTTGACTTTTTAAAAATCAGTTTTAATGACGTCATAGTTTCGTCCGATAGTGCTGTTAATCGATTGTCGGAAAAATCAACGTAAGAAAGATTGACCATATGACGAATTCCAAAGCTTACATTAGTTATCTGGTTGTTATCAAGCCGTAGTATTCTCATTTTCAGCAAGTTTTGAAATGTACAAAATGGTAACTCTACAAGCTGGTTTCCTGATATGTCTAGTTCTTCAACGTTTCTTTGATTTTGGAATATTTGACATTTATTGTCTAACCGTAAAGCTCGTCCTAACATGTTTTTTGCAAGATTTAGGTATTTAACTCGAACAAGACTGGCAGTAAACAGCGGAGAAATATCAGTGCATAAATTGTTTGATAGATCCAGCCTTTCAACACTCTCTACGCCAAATACGGGTTGGTTCCATGCAAAAAGAAAATTGTCTTGTAGATAGACATTCTTTATTCCGCTTGCATTCAAGTTACATTTTGGGAATCGTCCGTACAATTTACTAGAATTTGCATAGATTGTTTCCAGATTTTTTGGTAGATATATAGTGATATTAATTCTGTTCTTACCTTCAAGCCGCTTACTTCTTATATCTTCGTGCTTTATTGACAGATTTGTCGTAAAGGCGTCGCTTTTCTCGTCACATTTTTCAGAAAAGGAAGCGAAATTTTCCTGATGAAGGAACAAGGTCATGTTATATTCCCTCAAATTATACAAAGTGTGGAACTCAAAGAGATATCTTCCTGTTGTAAGTCTATTTGCAGCAAAAGATAGTTTCTCCAGCGTTGTTGGCATATTTGGCAAAACTCCTTTTTCTATTAGCTCTATTCTATTGTTTGCAAAAGACGCCTCAGTTAGTTTTGTTTGGCACAGGTACTGAATATGTGATAAAGTAAGCAGTGTTCCTTTTCCAATTTGGCAATGAATGCTGTCTGCATGAAAAGTTGTTATGTTAGTCCCATTCAATCCATAGGTTACGTTGGGAAGAAATGCAAATCCTAATTCTTTATTATGAGAAATATCAAGTTTTTTCAACTGTCGAAGAACTTTGAAGGGACCTTTGTCAAAATGTGATATTTTGCAATTACTAATATCAATTTCTTTCAAAAATGGTGTGTTTTCAAAGAAATTTCTAGAAATCCTTCTGACGTCGCAGTGTCCTGTTATACCTGATACATCGAGTCGAGACAGATTCTTTAATAACTTAAATTGATTTCCAAAAGTGAAATTAAAAGGTAAATCCATCTTCAGTGTCCTTAGAGCGCTGAGTTTGGAGAAGGTTTTATCAATGTTCAAATCACCGGTATTTGAATTATTTTTGATATTCAAAAGTTCCAAACGCTGAAGATGTAAAAATAATTTTGGATAATAATTGGATTCATTAAGCACGATATCATTTCGTTCAAGATTAAGAAATTGTAGAAACCGTAGTTCCCGGAATGGTGTTTGAGTGAGTGATGAAATTTTGTTCCGTGACAAGTCAATATATCTAATTTTTCTCGGAAATCTCCATTTTATCTCTTCTATTTTGTTTTTACTCAGATCGATCCAGAAGGTGTCATTTGGAAAGGAAGATATATTCAAATCCCTGTCAAAGCGTGCACTGCAATCTAATTTTAACCCTTCCCTTAAATTTGTACAAGTACAGGTAACACATAGGTTTGGAATCTTTGTAAACGTCATTGCCCGGTGACATACATAGAACCACAAAAGTAATTGCCAGTGATGAAACGTCATTTTGGCTAAATCACAGTGAATTATAAGAAACACAAAAGTAATTTCTATGAATTAAAAGTTCTCTGATTTTCAGGTAGATATACGGAAATAAAATGTACTTACTTTACACTTGCATGTACATGGAAGTCTTATTTACATTTCCACATGTCACACAAAAAACGAAATTTTTCCGGGTGCGAAAATTAATTTAGAAGCTAGGCTATTCGAATAAATACCTTTCTTTCTTTTTCCATAATACTTTTGTGTATACAAGTTAAAATCTGTGTTGAAATACAAATAATTCATTAATATGTCAAAAGGCAAAAACACAGTTAAATACCAAACAAATCTTTTCATATTTGCACAAAGGAGCGACGTTCACCCCATAGACGCTTTTTAAAGGGTAAATTGGTTCGAGGTACACTTTATGCACATGTATATACATGTATTCCAATTCAGGGGCTATTCGCATAGACCATCGTAATATTTGAATCAAAATCATCTTAGACATTCTCTTTTTTCATTCTATCCTATCCTTCAAGTGTCTAAGTCTGTAATGCAGTCTTATTCATATCCAAACGTATTGATCCTGATAAGAACAGGTGCTTTAAAAAAATGTTCAAAAAGTGTCGTATATTTCTATTTTTGGATTAGATAATGCAAGGATAAACACGGTGTAAATATTTTCCTTTTGTTGGTGAAAAACACAGACCATTTATCATTTTTATCAGAAACAGGACTTAATTTTTAAAAAAATGGCAGTACACTTAAGGTGCAAATTGGAATTATCGTCAATTTTTAAGATAAAAAATACATTCTTTACACGGGTGGGCGATTCTATTTAGTACTTTACAAAATATCGGACAAATGTAATTTGGTTGAAAACTACATGTTGAGGACTATTGAGATCATCTATAAATCCCAATATTCCAAGGGCATAACCAAGTTAAAAAATCTAAGTTTAATTCAAAAATATTTTGAAGATTCTTATGAAAAGTGCTGCGAGCCTATATAGATTCTACTATATGTATGTAATTGCTAAGATTACGTTTGCTATACTGCATGATGTATATTTGCTGGTCAATTATATTTAAAATAGAAATAATCAATTCATTTGCAAGATTTCATCAGGTTCGCAGCACTTTCAAAATATATTAGTACTTGTTACATAAAAGCTTGTCATCATCCGTTGTCATCCTTCTATTATATATCTACCGATGAATCCGCATACAAATGTACAGCAGTATCACTTGACTAGGGAATGTACGGAAAATATATGAATAAAATCACAAAACAGGTATCACACACAAAAAAAAATTCAGTTGGCAATTAAAACAAACTGTATTTTCTTTTTATCCTGAACACTGTAAATCCAAGTTCTCATTTCTTTATCTTTAAGCTGCACAGATGGACTAAACATAAAGCCTACTTTCCAAAATTTGCGTATACGTGGACTCTTCGAAAAATTCACGTACATACCATGTCATTCTTCGACTTACTATTTTAAGAAATTTAAATCGAGCCCATTATCATATGTAAAAACATCCCTTTTGTTGATGTTTAAAGTTTCATTCAGTATTATTCAGTAGAAATCATGTTACTTAATTCTTAAATCAACATGTGTTGTTTCAACAACAGAGCACAGTTAAAAATATTGTAACGTTAAAAACATAGCGTCATGAATTTCTCAAAAATACTCTCCCTACAAATTTCACGCTGCCTTGCCCGATACCCACGCATTTAAAAACGTTTCTCTCTCGCTTGAAATGAATTTTGCTAACAATTGTTCCAGTAGCATAATTTCGTTTGTCAATGTTTTATTTTTTCCGCGTTACTGTGCATGCTTTCATAAGATACGCAACTGTGAAGAGCCTATCTCTTTTTATGTCCTACATTTCTAGCTCTTTTAAGTTTTTTTTTTTTTTTTTTGAATAGATTTTTACAGATAATCCATTTTCTCACTGAGACAGAGTTTCCATCTTTCAAATCCGCCTGTGTCCTTTATGCACACATGCATAACTCACCTTTAACGCACTTATATATGTGACGCTGGAACAATTCATAATTTGAATATTAAGGATATTTCATTTTTGCGGGATTTCAAAGATCACCCCTCGTACCCCTAGACCAACAAGGCGCTTGATCATGAAGCAAATTAAATGCAAACATTAGGTCGCATGTACATGTTTATATTCACGTTCAATATTGTCAAAGTTTTACAAAACACATGGTGTCTAATAAAGCCTTTATAAAGCAGTTCTAATAAATGTAATTAGAAATTAATGTCCGCCGACAACCTGTTTTATATGAAATAACTTTCCACATACCCCTGTGCTAAAAATAATGACACGGGACTTTTAATACAATAAAAAAAAAAAAAAAAAACAGGGTGGGATACTTTAAAAGAGAGGCGAGAGAGGCCATAGGGATTAATGGTATAAAATTTCATTGCAAAAGCTCAAAAGCTTCTTGAGATATCGCCCGGAAACGAGTGTTACACACAGACAGAATATATGATCTTGACCTTTGACCTTTTCACCTCAAAATCAATTGGGTTTTCCTTAGGCCACAGCTAATTAGTATGTAAAATTTCATGGCAAAAGCTTAAAGGCTTCTCGAGATATCGAGCGGAAACGAAAGTGTTAAAACAGACAGAATTTATGAATGTTTGACCTTGACCTTTGACTTTTGACCTAAATTCAATAGGGTTCTTCTTTAGGCCATAGGAAGTTGTTATGTAAAATTTCATTGCAAAAGCTCAAAGGCTTCTCGAGAAGTGCGGAAACGAAAGTGTTAGAGACAAACAGAAATACAGATGGACAGGGGGACAGAAATTAATATCCCCCATTTTCAGTGAAAGAGGGGACAAGTATTGAAAACTAGCGGAATTTGAGTGAAAGAGATCATTAAAAAACAAATCTACCTATTTACGTTTCATATCATTTTGAGACAATTAATAACTGCTTTTAAAAAAATGATTCATATTTTAGACAAATATGAAGTCATGCACAGTAATAAGGTATTCAGGAATTGTTATAGTCAACTACAGATATGTATTTCTATTCATTGTAGATTTCATATACCCATTACAAATATATTTGCATTTTTAATCAAAAGTCGGATTTTTGTTTAAGAATGTATGTTACTCCTTATTTTATGATTACAAACATATGTAATTATAAAAACATGTACTTTTATACTGTTTGGTACATAGAGGGAGGCTAGTAAAAGGTTTTTGAAGAAAAAGTGCAAACGGAATATAATGTTTTTTTTTCTCTATATTTTATCGTAATTAAAATGATTTTGCTATAAAATACGCACTATGTCCATTTCCTACTAAGGAAGTTATTTTTACATTTAAAATTTTCTTTCACAATTAAATGTCGAAAATTATTAAATGTTTCTCACATATTAATATCTCATATAAATGAGATCCTAGCATAAGTGGTTACGCAGCACTGTTGAGGCTGCAAAAAGGGAGTGGGGCTTAATTTATACAGGAAATGTTTACTGTGACATCACACAAAAAAGGAATTCCTCAAATACCAGGAAATGAAATAATTTGCGATTTTAACTGTGTACGAGTAATGAACTACAACAAAACCTACCATTGCATTCATTTTTGTCGTTAGTCAAATGCCACACAACAAGGTATAAACAAGTCACTGATCCACATGACGTCATCGTGGTAAAACTTGATCCATTTTATGTGCAGTGGGAGGCGGATCAATTTTTTATCCGCAGTTAAAAATGCATTTTTAATTAAACAGAATATTATTTACAGATGAAAGATACATCATTAATACCAATGTGAAACATTTCTTTAGTGACATTATTCAATGATTTTCAGGAGAATGTATTGCATGAATTATTCCGTGTTTTAGTGTACAAAGTTGGCATGTTTAAATTCGAGGTGACTCATTAAATCACCTTTCTGCAAGGGTATACGCTTAATAGATCTTGATCATTTTTTTTTTAAATACACATACATGTAAAGGAAAAATTTCATAAACTTTAAAAGTGTTACTGCTTTACTGAAATAGAGAGCACTACTAAATAAATTCTTAAAATACTTGGCAAAGGTCACACATATTTCAACTTAAGTAAAATTACTTGAAATTTAAACTAATAAATGGAAATTGTATTTAAAACAGCAACACTTTCCAGAAACTACACGATATGTAGAAACTATTTGTCACTTATATTTTTAATTTTAACTAAGGTATGCCCTTGTGATATAGAAATGTCTTTAGGACTTCCATGCAGAACACATTAGGTGAATTTATCACGTGACCGTCAAATCAGCTGACCAATCTAAATTCAATACAAAATGTAGTATACTCTGTTATCCCAGTTAATATAAGAGTCATGTAATAATATGATAACGTCAAAAAAAATAATAAATTCAGTTAAATAAGGCATCTATTTGTGTAGATCTATATTCCGTTGATTTCTTCATAGTATGTCTTACTAGTGCTGCGTATTGTACAACATTTTACACGTTCACGATTGCGCTATCATGTTTTATCAGCATATAGTAATCAACTATGTGATATAATTAGAACTTAACAGAGTAAAACTAAAAACACATTCCTTGCATTTATTTATTTTCTACAAGGATATACATTTAAAAAAATAATTGTATTGATGTATTTTTATTGTGGTTATTTATGTCTTTGAAACGATGTCAATAATCTTAAAGCCACATATAAATGAAATATTAAAATACTTATATGCATGGTATGTACATGACATTTTTAGAACGCGTAAGACGATTAAATGATCCAGAAAAAAACTTTGAACACAGACGTTTTATGCATTTAATACAAGCAAATATTTATCTTTCAAAATTTAAAGTCTGAGATAGGATATACAAACATGAACGGTTTTAATCTAAATCAAATAAAATTTGAAGCTTTTTTAAGTGTTGTACGTGATTTATTTATGTAGAACACTCTTTCCCGAGATCATGATTTGAATTTGATCCGCACAATATGCTTCAATGTTATTCTATTGTCATGAGTTCTTGATAATACGAGTAAGATTTTGCCAGAATTCCCTCTGCAGTGATGAATCTTCCGGTGGATAGTCAAGAAAATATTTTTTGTCAATAAAATCTTTTATAGCTGTGTCACAACCTCCTTCAAACAAATCAGGCATTAAAATAAGATGGACATATCCGAGGGATCCTCTTTCCTTTAAACCTTCCATTTTCGCCATGTTTAATTCATATGTTCGCCATTTTGATTTCAGATACGCTTTCGACACCACACAAACAGTTCTTTTACTCCGACCAATTGCTTTCATGATGTTATCAATTTTAGAATTACCGATTTCGAAGTGAATATCACGAATTAGTAACCTTAAACCTTTAGCTTCCAGTTTCGGTTTCATCTTCTGGAATACGAATCCCCTATTCTCGCCTACATAAGATATAAATGCATGGTAAGGATATTGTAATTTTTCTTGCTTCATTCCACAGTGACTGATTTCTTCAAAGCTTTCATCAACTATTGACCCCAGCAAATCGGGTTTTGATAGCAGATTAGATGATTCCTCAACTCGTTTAGATGAGGTAAAACTTTCATTTTGTCGTTTACTTTTATACAGGAAGTACCTTATGTGCCAGATGTTTTTCCGAATGATTATCACAAGTATGACACTAATTACTAGAGTAATCAGAACAGTTATTGTTACAATCCAAATGTTAAAATTCATACAGTCAAGTTTGAGTTTTTGGAGAGATTGTTCCATGTATTTAAAATCGAAATGACTGGTACGATCTGAGCAAGTATACTTTTGAAAACCTAAGAAATGCATTCTGTTATTATACAACCATGTCAAGAATTCTAAATTTTCACATCTACAATACAAGTTGTTCTTTTGTAGGTTAATGATTACTTTTGATTTTTCGAAGATGTAAGTAAAAGCATGTAAAGTTTCATTTGTGAAACCCGTTAATCTGTTATCGGAGAGATCAATATAAGAAAGATCAGTCATGTGACGCAATCTGAAGTTTACTTCGGTCAGTTGGTTATGATTAAGTTTTAGTATTCTTAATTTTGCCAGATTTTGAAAAGTACAGATTGGTATGTGAACAAGTCTGTTGTTTGATAGATCGAATTCTTCTAGTTTTCGTTGATATTTAAATAATTGGCATCTTCTGTCCATTTGAATCGGTAGCGACAAAAAATTTCTTGCAATGTTTAAGTACTTTAATCCGGTACCGCTTGAAGTAAAACGGGGGGATATTCTAGAACAAAAATTGTCTGATAAATCTAGTTTTTCGACAAGCTCAAACCCAAACACAGGTTGATCCCATGAAAAGAGCAAATTGTTCTGTAAGTAGATATTTTTCAATTTTTTTGCATTCATGATTAGTTTCGGAATCCCTCCATATAGTTTGCTTGAATTAGCATACATTGTTGTAAGATTTGGAGGAATGTAAACTGTTATATTTGGCAAAAGTCTGTTTTTCTGTACGTTTGAATATTGTTGGTATTTATTTTTTCTAGACTCAATTGCGATTTTAAAATCTTTCTTTTCGTTGCATTTCTCAAAAAGATCCGGATAAAATCTTACAGGTTTCAAAAGTAATGTCATGTTATATTCTTTCAATTTACGCAGAGAGAAAAATTCAAATAGATATATTCCTGTTGTGAGTCGGTTTAAGGCGAAAGATAGTTTCTCCAATGTTGAAGGCATATTTGGCAAAACACCTTTTCCAATTAATTCCATCCTATTCTGTGCAAAAGAAGCCTCAACAAGTTTTGTTTGACGCAAGTTCTCGATATGGGAAATTGATAACATTGTTCCAATACCAAGTGAACAATGGATATTGTCTGCATGAAAAACTGTGATTGATGTTTCGCTCAGACCAAAGGTTGCATTTGGGAGAGAGACAAATCCTAATTCCTTATTGTGAGAAATATCGAGTTTTTTCAAGTGCCGAAGCAGTTTGAAGGGCCCTTTATCAACATAAGAAATTTTGCATTTACTTATATCGATATCCTTCAGAAAAGGTATGTTTTTGAAGAAATCTGCTGATAAACGTCTAATATTGCAAATACCTGTTATTCCTGATGTGTCAAGGACAGAAAGGTTCCGAAGATTTCTGAATCCATCGCCAAAAGTAAAATTATAAGGTATGTCTATTTTAAGTATTTTCAAAGAAACAAGCCTGGAAAAAGCTCTATCAATAGAATTTGAATTCACGTTAGCTTTTGCGTTCCTCTTAATATTCAATGTTTCTAAACTTCGCAGAGAAAGAAATACGTCCTGGTAATAGATTGATTCTGAGAGTGTGAGATTATTCTGTTCGAGATTTAAATATCTTAAAACTTCAAGTCCACTGAATGGATTACCAGGGAGAGCTGAAATATTGTTTCTTGACAAATTGATAAATTTGATTTTCTTTGGAAATCTCCATTGTATTCCCTTTATGTTATTGTCACTTAAATCTATCCATACTGTCTCTTCTGGAAGTGAAGTAATTTTATATCCCTTGCTCAATCGATTACTACAATCAATTTTCAATCCTTGTTTAAATTTAAATCTGGTACACTTGCATACATCACATAAGTACGCTCTATCTGTAACCACTAATATCCACTGAAAGAAATAAAAACACACAAACAACAGCCAGTGATACACTTTCATGGTCAATCTTAACTAATATGTGTTTTGTCACTCAAACACATCGAAAGACATTCTCTTTAATTTCCACTCATAGGTTTAACTAATATAAATTATAATAAGGGCCAGCGGCATTAGTTTTTATTTTCTTCCGGGTTGATACAAAGTTCACACAAATTCATCACCTCTTACAAGTTCAAAATAAATGATGACCCCATTTTGATAAAAGTCACATTAGCTTGTGAAGAGTTTTTTTTTAAAAGATTTTCTTTTAAAATAAGGTTATTTGGGGAGGGAGGGGGGGGGGGTCAAATATATTTGCCCTACAATAGCCATATACTTTGTGGCATGTGAATATAAATATTATTGGCGATGAATATTATTTTATGGATAATTTTTCCGGGAAAACTCTATATATTGTACATATTAACTACCAAGAATGATAGTTTTAAAATTTGTTTCGGGGTCTTCAGAATCTTTAAGTCTACGTACTAGAACAGATATACATGTAGCCTGAAACATATTATAAACATAAATGATGTTCAATTGTCAGATAATGTCAGACAGTGCACAAAATATTAAAACATATGAACACATATAAACAGACTGTTTGAACGTCAATTGCGCCCGTAACACGGACACATCAGATGTATTTTGAGATCTTGTAGAATCTTTCATATGGAATTATACAAAATTAGTGTAAAGTACAGTCTCTACAATAAGTCTTTATATAACCGAAATAAGATTTTAGACCTAAACCAGGTATTTTTATGTTTAAAAGTTCAGATTCGGGTTTTTATTATCCAACGTATGTGCTTTGCGCCAGTTTTTCACTTTAAATTCGTCTGTAAAAAAATTTCTCTAAAACAAATACTGAAGTAAAAAACAAACATATATCCATACGTTATATTCGTATGTAAATTTGTGAAAATTGACCTCCTTGTTTTCAACAAAAAAGTTAATCCTAATGAAAATTAAATAAACATTCGATTGTTCTTTTACTAGTGTAATTCTTTCGCAAAAGATATATAGAGTATTCATTTTGTCTTGTTATATTGTACTTTCTGTAGATTTCTGCATATAAAAACATTCCCTGTCCTGAATACAATATTTGACAAGATATAAAAAAGTATAATGGTAATTTCAACGCTACTTAATGACGGAAGATAGTTCTTCACAGTCGCAACTTTTGATAATAAATGTCCAAAGTGGTAAACTGTGTTTTTTTTCATTTAAATGTAGATACATATTATACTACAATTCTTTCTATTTCCTGTTTAGAAAAAAAGTCCGATTTTTTTTTTCAAAATACAAATATAAGGGCTATTACTTATCTGGTGATTAATCATTGAATAAAAGATAAATGAAACACTCAAATTCTACAAGAATATCCTGTTCAACAGCTGGTTGAGTGACTATTTCCCAGTAGGATAATGACACTTAGGGCTATGGACAATATTCGGAAATATACAACTAAAATTTTATACACTGTCACGTTTACTAAGGTGCGTAAGAGATAAGTGATCGAAATTTTACATTGTACTTTAAAGTTTAACATCTAAAAGTATACAACACTTCAAAATTGTTAATGTATCCATTGGGGGGGTGGGAGAGAGAATCGTATAAAAAATAACGATCAGGAGTTTTTAAAAGTCAAAATGGATATTTGAAGGAGCCATATGTGACTCGAGACATCCCCGAAGTTGTAGAGATCATGGAAGAAATCTTGACTCTTTTTCTTCTGATGATTATCAATAATTAACTATTACTTTAAACTTTTTATTCGCAATTTTCCTTTATAATTGTATTATTTTTGTTTTAATGACCATTGAATTTGTATTTTTTATTTATGCAAGATCATTAAAGTCACTTAAAGTGTTCCAACTGTTTTACTGCTGCATGTACTGTTGAATTGTAGTATTAGTATTGAAAATATTATGGTTATACCAAAGCGAAAGCGAAAAAAAAACTTTGGGGTAGATGTTAATAAGTACGGTCAAATATTAGCGATTCGTATGTTAATTCTGCTGAGAGAATAATGAATGTTTTGAATATGTTTTAGATGGGACAAGATCGACAGCAAGACCCAACTCTGAGAAATCAAAAACTTCAAGGGATAAAGCTGGAGCCATCAAAATCTTATAATAAGCGAAAAATAATCAGTCACTTTGTATATTTATGTTTCAATGGACAAGATTATACAATCATCTTTTATTTAAATAATTTAACTGGATTTCTTAACGATGACAAATAAATATATGTGAACATACTTGTATTGTCATATACGTAATAAGTAGTTTATAAACAATATATATTTTTTTCAAATATTTAATCAGCTCCTCTCACACCTCAGAAGACAGAACGATTGAATACTAAAAAAAATGCCACATTAAGGGTCGCCATCCCTCCGTTCATTCATGAGAAAAATAAGACAAATGATTTTCCAAAAGAAATAAAATTATCATTAAAATGGCCACAGTTTAAAATATATTGCAAAGCAAAATTTGACACAAATAGCTTTTGACTTGACAATTTTACTAAAGAATAAAACAAATTTATCCCGCTGTGATTTTGACACAAGGAGAAAATCACATCCTTAAAAAGATCGCAGCTTTGCATATAAATTATATAATGGCAGAAACTTTCACTGTACATAGAGGATGAAATCATGAGTATCAAATGAATCATTTCTCGTCTTTTTACAGTTGATTTTTTTAACTTTCAAGGGCCAGTCCAACGTGACACTCATTATGCTGTTTGAGGTTTTCTTCCGTTATTTTCATTTTGTTTTCAATAAAATTTCATCTATCTACACTGTAATAACGAAAAATCGGCTTGCAATTTAACTTGCATGATGCTTTACAAATTCGGAATACTTTTATGATATCGAGAAAATCTTTATGGTCCTTTTGATTCCTAATTTTAGGGGTCAGTCCCTGTTTGCTGATATCGTATGAAAATTTTTGTTATTCTTCACAACTTTCGTTCTATATCTTTTTTACGAAATATTAACAGGTAAAGACACATTGTAGAAAAAGTGTTAGAAATTTTGATATTCTCCATATGAATTATTTCGGGCCATAGCGAGCGTCAGTGTGAAGTACTTCTGAGGAAAACGAAATGTGCCTGACAGATCTGCATATGTTACGCTATCAATCCTGAAAATTCTCCGTGTTACAAGTTTTATTGAAATTGTAAAAATCTTAAGAAGAGGTAGCCGTCAAAGAAATTCCTATTTTTGTAACCATGGCACACTTCATTATGGGGAAAATGAAATAAAGAATTATATGTCTTAATGTATTATCATTTATACCAAGTTTTATTAGAATCAGGCAAAAACTATAGGAGAAGAAGTGATTTGAATATTGTTTACAGACAATCAAACAGCTAGAAAACCAGACTCACGGATGACTGACACTGTGCTACTGCAAAAACTCTTTCTTTTCAATTAAATTGACCAGTATAGTTTTAAGAAATTCACTACATGCTTTGTTTTAATAACATCGGTCACTCCTCTGTGATGAAGGTATTAGTTGTCAATTTATTTGTATTTCTGGGAAGAGAAAAAGGAAAAACACAACATTTGGCAATTATAGAACTCTTTCGTTGCCATGACAACCGTGACACAATTTTACTCTGCATCATTAAAAACTTCAAGATTTACCTTTTCGGAAAATATTATTATTTTGCATCTATCAATTGTCTTGTCAATCCGATATTTGCTTTATTTGTAAATATTCCCCAGGAAATTTATTAAAAATGAAAATTAAAAGATAATTATTAATTAAACGAGTCTTTGTCAGAAATGCATAAAGATCAAGGAATAAACCCATTATCTGGAGACTGAGTTTAAAATTATTGTCCTTTTCCTTTGTGTTCTATAGAACATAGAGATATGTAGATATACATCAAGGTCATAAAATTGTACAGCTTAATAGTGTATATGGAATAATTGATGAAATATTTTATAGATAGAAATAATTAATGCAACGGTGATAAGTGTAATTTAAACAAGTAACATGTTGTTTCACATTTCAATTTTTACAAGCCTACAAATGAAACTGTATCCAAATATGAAAGGCCTCTGTGTGCTCTAAAAAAACGTATGGGTTGATTATAGGGAAATTATGAAAACTTTATGCTGTAATAAATATTTGAAAAACCCATATTTGTTTACAAAACTGGCGTTCTGTGCACATGAATTTTAAATTTAGATCCCCAACCCACCTTCCCATCAATAAAAAAAAAAGCCTTAAAGATCTGTCATATTTTATTTTATCTCAGATTTATATTCATCTTAAAAAAATAATGTGTTGATAACAAAAGGCCGCTCTTTTTTTCCAATTATGTTGATTTCACCATGAAATGATATGTTATTTGACAAATTTGTAATTAGAAAAAACATGATCTTTGATACTGTTTACAACATTGAAGTTCTCTCCATGGTCGAAAAATCATGCGTTCGGGATCCGACATACCTAAATCGAAAAAAGAAATGGTTGGCACCTATGTTTTCGCCAAGCCCTCGACAGTAATGGCGTAAAAGTTTTTCGGATGAGACTTTATAGACGAGGACAGATATGAAACCGGTTTAAAGTCATATAAAATAATAAGAATTTTAATAATATATGATACTACATGATAATGATCCATTTATGTAGAACACGCTTTCAAAAGACCAGGGTGTGAATTTCCGATATTCTTCCTTTTTTGTGCTATTGGCATGGGTTCCTGATAATAGAAGTAAGATTTTACCAGAATTCCTTCTGCAGGGACGAATCTTCCGGTGGAGAGTCAAGAAAATATTTTTCCTCGATAAAATCTTTTATAGTTGTGTCACAACCTCCTTCAAACAAATCAGGCATTAGAATAAGATGGACATATCCTAAGGATCCTCTCTTGTTTATTCCTTCCATTTTCGCCATATTTAATTCATATGTTCGCCATTTTGATTTTAGATACTCTTTCGACACAACACAAATAGTTCTGTTACTCATCCCTATTGCTCTCATGATGTTATTAGTTTTAGAATAACCAAGTTCGAAGTGAATATCACGAATTAATAACCTCAAACCTTTAGCTTCCAGTTTTGGTTTCATCTTCTGGAATACAAACCCCCAATTCTTGCCTACATAGGATATAAATGCGTGGTAATAATATTGCTGTTTAGCTGGCTTATCATCATAATGACTGCTTTCTTCAGAGCTTTCTTTAACTCCAGCACTCAGAAAATCAGAATCATTACGAATATCATACAATTTTTCTACTCTTGTAGATGAATTGGGAGAATCATTAAATCTTTTACTTTTATACAGGAAGTACATTATGTGCCAGATGTTTTTTCGAATGATTATCACAAGTATGACACTTGTAACAAGAGTGATCATAATAGTTAATATGATAATCCAAATTTCAAAATTCATACAGTTAAGTTTAAGTCTTTTGAGAGATTCGTCCATTTTTTGAAAATCGAAATGATTGGTACTATCAGAGCAAGTGTACTTTTGAAAACCTAAGAAATGCAGACTGTTATTATACAACCATGTCAAAAATTCTAAATTTTCGCATCTACAATACAAGTTGTTGTTTTGAAGATTTATTAATACCTTTGTTTTTCTGAAGATGTAAATTAACGCAAGGATATCGATAGTATTATTTGTAAAGCCTGTTAATCTATTATCGGAGAGATCAATGTAAGAAAGGTTAGTCATGTGACTAATTCTGAAGTTTACTTCAGTCAGTTGGTTGTGATTAAGTCTTAGTATTTTTAGTTTTGCCATGTTTTGAAAAGTACAGTTTGGTAAGTGAACAAGTTTGTTGTTTGATAGGTCAATTTCCTCTACTTGTCGCTGATATTTAAATATGTGACATTTTTTGTCATCTTCAATCGATCGAGACAACAAATTTCTAGCAATGTTTAGGTATGTCAATCCTATAGCGCTTGAAAAGAAATGTGTGGCAATACTAGAACAAAAATTATCTGATAAAAAAATGAGATATCTTACAATTACTTATATCAATATCCCTCAGAAAATGTGTATTCGTGAAGAAATTTCCAGTTAGATTTCTTAAATTGCAAATACCTGTTATTCCTGATGTGTCAAGAACAGAAAAATTTTGAAGCTCTTTGAATCCATCGCCAAAACTAAAATTGAAAGGGATGTCAATCTTGAGTGTTTTTAAAGAAACAAGTTTGGAAAAAGCTCTGTCAATAGAAATTGAACTCAGGCTTACTTTTGAATTCTTCTTGATATTCAAAGTTTTCAGATGGCTAAGAGAAAGAAATAAGTCCGGGCAATAGATGGATTCCTAGAGCGTGAGATTATTCTGCTCCAGTTCTAGATATCTTAAAACCTCTAGTCCACTGAAAGGTTTACCAGGGAGAGCAGAAATGTTGTTTCTTGACAAATTAATGAATTTGATTTCTTTTGGGAATCTCCATTGAATTTCTTTTATGTTGTTTTCACTTAAATCTATCCACAGTGTGTCTTCTGGAAGTGAGGTGATTTTAAATGCCTCGCTAGGTCGAGCACTGCAATCAATTTTCAATCCTTTTGTTAAATAAGTGCAGTTGCAGAAATGACATAAATTCGCTTTCTCTGTAACCGCCCATGCCAGTTCATAGTAATAGAAACATACATACAATTGCCAGTGATAAACATTCATGATTCATTTCACCTACTGCGTTTTTCTTTCAAACATATCAAAGGACACATTTTACCCAAAAATGATTATAAAATCTAACGAAATCGGCACATTTTTTATAGCATTGCTTTTCTTCCTGGATAATACATATATTACGCAAATTCAATTTCTCTTGAAAGTCATTATTAAAGAATTGCATATGTTTGGTTGTTTAAATGAGGATACAATTTTTTATACGCTTACAGGACAAGATTATGTATTTCTGATTACATTTCTATTTAATTCTACCTTTACATGTACTATAGCCACACTTTGTGACACCAATAGAAATATTTGCAATTGGCGAGGAGTTTTTTTTTTTATATTATAATGTACATATGCTGGAATGATATTCGTATTTAGTTCTATAAGCATGATGATTTTGAAGGTTCTTCTTTTTTAAAGTAATACCGCCATAAAATTCAACTCAAGTCTTCAGAATTACTCAACTAAGTATATTCATATTCTGCCATAAAACAATGTGCTTAATTAATCTTTTCTGCTTGCAGAAATTTTGAGAATAAATCTGATTCTAAGACTGATTTTTATAAGTCGAAATTTATATGGCAGTGGATGACTTTGGGAATGGCAAAGTGAGAAAATTTCAAAATCTTTCTACTTCAGCTTCATGTAGGATTTTTTTTACAACCTCTATATTATGTTATGTTTTGCTTTGTTTTTTATTTTGTTTTTTTTTTTTAATTTTTGTTTTGTTTTGTTTTGTTTTTTAAATTCAAATTAATTTATTCATGATAAAACTAGAATAAAATTTATATTTATATTGCTGGATTTTTAAAAATGTTTTTGCATTGATTTTCAGTAAAGATATGAAGGAAAAGAATTTGGGGAGAATGAATAAGGCTGGTTTGCTTTGGGAAATACGATATAATGATGATAAGAGAATGCGTGGGTTAATCCAGTGCAACATCCTCTAAACGTTGTCTTGAAGAGATATTCCGCATATCATATTAAACATACTATCTAATCAGATCTCAAAGAAAAAAATCTTTGTTAATCATTGTACAGCTTGATTTTATTTTTTATTTATTTATTTTCTTTATTCTTATTTTTCTTTTGGAGAAAAATAGAATTATAAAAGAATTCTTGTAAACAAGAAAAATTCAAAATATTAGGAAAGCAAAATGTTTTTAATTCAAACTGTGTGCGATAGTTCTTAAAGGTTTAACACCAGATATTCATACATTTGCAATTTTCATTTAATTTTCCCCAATATAGAATTGAATATGGATATATATTATTTTGAAATATATATTTAAATCTTCTTCTGTCCAGATGCATTACAAATAAGGACTTTTTATAATACAGATCAGATCTTCCCAGAATGCTTCCCGTAAGCAGGAGTCTTCAGGAGGATAGTCGATGAAATACTTTTGATCGATAAAATCTTTTATTTTCATATTACATCCACCCTCGAAAATATCTGGCATGAGAATGAGATGGACATATCCCAGAGATCCCCTCTCTTTTATGCTTTCCATCTTAGCCATGTTCATTTCATATGTTCGCCATTTGGAGTTTAGGTACGCTTTGGATACAACACAAATAGTTTTCCTGCTCTCGCTTATAGCTTTCATGATATTATGAATTTTTCCATCACCAATGTCAAAGTGAATATCACGCAAAAAAATTTTAATCCCACTTTCTTCCAATTTGGGCTTCATTTTCTGGAAGACAAACGCCCTATCATATCCCACATAGGAGATGTATGCATGGTAGGAAAAGGACAATATTCTTAGCATCCTGCAAGGATGACTTTCAGCTGAATTATAGGAAAATTTGTGTGTAATCAAACTCAGCGTATCCGATTCTGCAACCAAACTAGATATTTCAGATCCATCTTTTCTTGGAATCTCAACTCCATTTTTTCTTTTATGTTTATACAAGAAATACCTTATGTGCCAAATCTTTGTCCTGATTACCTGTGCAACAACGAAACAAACAACAATAGTAATTATAATAGACGAAATAATTATCCAGATATGCAGATCCATACAGTCAATTCTGAGTCTATGTAGTGATTGTTCAAATTCATTGAAATCAAAACGAGTATTACCATTCGAGCAAAAGTGCCTTTCGATGTGTAGGAAATGTTTCTTGTTATGAAACATCCACGTCAGGAAGTCGAAGTTTTTACAAGTGCAATGCAACTTATTGTTAAAGAGACTTATTGATACCTTTGATTTTGAGAAAATGTATGAAAACGAATCCATTGCTTGATCTGAAAAGGTATTTATCCGATTGTCTGACAAATCGACGAACGAAAGATTATACATATGCTTGATTCTGAAATTCACATAAGACAGCTGATTATGATTCAGTCTAAGAACTTTCAATTTCGCCATGTTTTGAAATATACAATTTGGTAAATATGCAAGTCTGTTGCTTGACAGATCAAGTTCTTCCAATAGGAGTTGATTTTTAAATAGCTGGCATCTGTTATCTAAATGTATTGAACGTGCCAAAAGGTTTCTGGCCATATTTAAATGTTTAAGACTCTTGCCACTTGCTGTAAAAGCTGGAGATATACTAGAGCAAAGATTATTCGATAAATCTACCCTTTCAAGCATTTCAATCCCAAATAGAGGTTGATTCCAAGAAAACAATAAATTGTTCTGCGCGTACACATTCTTTAAACTTCTTGCGTTTATTCTGAATTTCGGTATTCTACCGTACAACTTGCTTGAATTTGCATAAAATGTTTCAAGGTTCGGTGGCATATACATTGTTATATTTGAAGAACGATGAAATTTAAAATATGACTCTGAATATCTTGCACTCAGTGATATTTTGGAGTTCAAATCTTCCTTTTCGTTGCATTTTTCAAACACAAAGGAAAAATATTTTGGTGGTTTCAAAAGAAAAGTTATATTAAATTCTTTCAAATTATGCAATGTGTGAAATTCAAATAGATAAATTCCTGTTGTAAGTCGATTGAGTGCAAAAGACAGCCTCTCAAGGGTTTTTGGCATGTTCGGCAAAACCCCTTTTCCAATTAGCTCAATCCTATTGTGTGCAAATGAAGCTTCAGTGAGTTTTGTTTGTCGTAAGTTTGCAATATGTGAAACGGCAAGCTCAGTTCCTTTTCCTATAAGACAACGGATAGCATCAGCACGAAACGTTCGAATAGAAGTCTCTTTCAGACCATTAGTAACATTTGGGAGAGAAGCAAATCCTAATTCTTTGTTATGAGAGATGTCGAGATATTCCAAATGACGAAGAGCTGTGAAGGGACCTTCATCCACTTTCGATATTTTGCAGTTACTTAAATCAATTCTCTTTAGAAATGGAATGTTGATGAAAAAGCTTTTAGAAAGATATTTTATATTACATTGTCCTGTTATTCCGGAAACATCAAGATTCTGTAAATTCTGAAGATATTTAAATCCGCCACCAAATTTGAAATTGAATGGTAAATCCATCTTCAATGTCTCTAATGACTGAAGTTTTGAAAATGCTTTATCTATGCCAGATGCTTTTGAAAATGTCTTTGTGTTGTTCTTGATATTCAAAACCTGCAATCGGTCAAGATGAAAGAATAAATCAGGATAATAGTTTGTTTCAGACAGGACAATTTTATTGTCCTCAAGGTTAAGATATTCCAAAAATTGTAGTTTTTCGAACGGTTTACCGGAGAGAGACGAAACTGCATTTTGCGACAGATCAATATGTCTGATTTTCTTTGGAAATCTCCATTTTATCTTTCTGATGTTGTTTCTTCTTAGATCTATCCAAACAGTCTCTTCTGGGAAAGAAGTAATGTTGGAAGCCATACGGAGTCGCTCATCGCAGTCAATTTTTAATCCTGTTTTCAAATATGCACATTTGCAAACCTCACATATGTAATGATTACATTCAATGTATGATATCCAGAGAAAGGAATAAAGCATTAATAACCACTGATACAACGCCATCATGTATTTTTAAGTCAATTATTTCTTTTACAAGGAAGAACAATTCGAAGCTTTATGGCAAAGGTACTCTTTTTAAATGTCAGATACCAGTTGTTCTTTTTCGGAAACTACATAATATTTTTTTCCCTGTTGATTTGATTCATCAATCTGTGAATTGCATGCCAGAATTAAATTCAGTACAGTGAACCATCTTGCTTATTGTTCTACACCTGCAAAGGAGTCAAAAGGGAATAAAAGGCTCCCATAGTATTTCTTTCAAGGTACAGCAAACAAAATCTCTTTAAAAATCTTTAGCTGGACATAAATTGCTTATGAAAAAGTTTAAAAACCACTCATTGTCCGATTAACAGTCATCCAGAACGAACACCTATAAATTCTTAATTAAACGTCTCCAATGATGGCAACAGACCATATATATATATATATATATATATATATATATATATATATATATATATATATATATATATATATATATATATATATATATATATATATATATATATATATATATATATATCTCTGAAAAAAAAAACATATTTCTTTAGATACTTAAGTTTTCCTTGATACAAAATTGAATTACCCTTGGCAGCATTTTTTTTTAATTTATAATTTGCAATAATTAAAAAATTAAGCAATTCTAAAAAAAAAAAAAATGATTATATTCAGCTTGTGTTCTCGCTACAAAATATGTACTTTCTCTCTCTCTCTCTCTCTCTTCATAATAAAAGATTTTCATTATTGCTATTGCACTATCGTTTAGAATTTAAGACATTTCTTTCGTCTGCACATCTAAATAATTTAATTGTTGACCAATATTTTTAATTTAAGCATATTTTAGCTAAGGGTGAACTACTGATTGATTTCAAGGCGTAAATTTCATGGATGTTCTTAGGTAGTTTACTTACAGTGGTAGTTTATGTCATATCATTTACTCTTCTTTCAAACATCAAATTTCCTCTGTGTGTGTTTTTTTTTTCACTTTTATGTCAAATAAATGTCTCGGAAAATACAAAACAGTGATTTTAAAATTTTCAGCATCTCTCCTTCTTAAGAGAAAATTAAAGAATAACCAACCCGACTCCAACTAAAACTGGTAGTATCTTACATCTGTGTGCCTCATAATTTTCATGATAAGTCTTAAAATGTAAGTACAATTTAGTACAAAATATATCAGAAGCGCAAGCTTTTGAGAAAACAAGAAAACTCTAAGCCACAAAATCCATACAGGCTTTTCTTGATTTATGGAGTGAGCATTCCATTTTACGAACGTCAGATTTCTTACTATGAAAATCAAGAGTAAAAAAACTTAATATCGCAACTGGTTTTTACTATTCTACTTTCATATCAGCAAACATAATGTTCACTCCCACAGTACAATGAAATATGAAGTTAACGAACAGTAATCAATCTCTAAGTCCATTGAAACAATACAAATTTGGAGCAGAGCAAACACGGACCTCTAAAAAACATTAGAGGTTGGATCAGGTGTCAGGGATGAGTGAGCATCCCCTGCCGATCGGTCACATCCGCCGTGTGCTTCTTGTCATGATCTTTGGAAAATGGAAAAGTCCATAGACAAATTTATAATGGCTTAACAATTAGTATGAAAAACGTCAGTCAGCATTTGATTTTTGAAATGATGACTTCAAACGAGACTGTTGATGTCCTTGTTTAGTCAACTTGTTTGTCAATAGCTTGTCTCGTTTTAGAAATTGTTCATTTATAGAGCATGCTCTTGCGTATCGAATCGAATGGGAGACATAAACCCCATATGCAGGTGATAGGTGTATATTGTTAGTAAAGTAAGGAAAGAATGGTATTTTGTTACGCAATTAAGGGAAGATGACGATTGAAAGTTGAAATCATCACGTTTATCATAAAGCTTTGTTGTTAGGTAACCATTAGCGTCTTTTCTAGTAAAATATTTTAATATGAAACAGACGTGTCAGACTCTGTGGTATCTCTTATTTCAAGCTCACTGGGATATGTTGAGTCGACATATGAATGGAAGTAACTATTTTTAATTGATAATACGTCATAAATATATCGAAATGTCGTCGAGTTGATGGCCACAGCAAGTGTTTTCTTCTTCTCATATATAAGCTTCTATTAAAAAAAAAAACAGAAACAAACAGAAACAAACAAAAACAAAAAACAGCTGTCTATGATGTCAAAAAGCCTAGAGGTCAATTTTTCATGGGGAATGGTTGTATAAAGTGTTGAAAAGTTGTACGTTTTGATGTTATTTATCTTGGTAAAATTTTGTGATTTCACATTTTCTAAAAGTTCCTTGGAGTTTTTAAGTACCGGTATGCACATCTGATTTACACCACTTCACAAATATACTGTTGTACAGTACTCCTGAAGTTTCTCCTTCATTGCTGTAAATATTTTAGTGAGGAGCAAAGAAAGTGCCTTGGTTGGACATTTAATGTATCTTTGTTTATAACGCATCTCATGTAGTTTAGGAATCCTCTAAAGGCGGGGTAAATTAAATTCATTTTGATAGTTTGGAATATTAAAAATATTTAAAACAGAAAAATCATTTTGAAGAATTTCCTCCTTAGAAAGGGATTTCCACCATTCCAGAATTAAATCCTACATGTAGTTCCTCTAAGCTACAATTCAAATTAAGAGTCTTACAAACAAAGACTATGTTGTTACCTGTTTTGTCAGCTCGGACCAATACATACTGATCGTGTAAACAGTGTTTTGAAGTATTTGTATACATATTTGAATTTGTAAATATAACAAGTCTTTGAATGCCGTCTTCTGGGAGTTCAATTTTTGAAAGAAAAATAACGGTTAGTAGTGACCTACTTTAGTACAATATCATGCTTTGAAATGTATCTGTATGTAAACAAGTCTCTCGTTTGACAGACAAAAATCGTCTAGTGGTTTCTGAGTTCAGATTCCCAAGCATCTCATGTTTTTTTTTTTTTTTTTTTTTTTTTTTTTTTTTTTTTTAATAAGAAAAAGCAAGCAACTTTCCTGCGGTATTCATGTATTTCAATCGAATAACACTTGTGACAAATTATAGAAATAAGTGATAAGACTATCCTTTCAAATCGTCTAATTCTAATCCTCTCTTCTTTAAAAAGTCTAGATTTATTGAAGTGCTTTGCAACAATATTTTAAAAATTCAAGCACTTGATATACGAGGAATGTTCCGATAATAATGACACTTGACACTTTTTTCATCCACGTATGTAAGTTAAGGCTAGGTATAGGCGTTTCTATGCAAATGAGCTAAGAGGTATATTTATTATTCAGAGAAAGTTTTGATTTGTTTCTTATGCACACTTGGTACCCACGATATGTTATAGCCAGTACACATTATGACGTCGTTTATCTTACCTACTGGAGGTAATAAAACACATCAACAAAAACAGCTTCGGAGCAAGGGATTACCCTATTTATTTTTGCATAAAAAGTGTATAACGCAAAGAAGAATATTCTATAAATTAATAAAACTGCTGCACAAATCCTAGACATTTTCTCATTTGATCGGATTTTGAGGAAACTTATACCGGACTGTATATGTTTACCCTGATTCAACCTAAAACTTTACAATTAGAAATTACGCAGCACAGTTAAGGTGCCAAATGGAAATATCGGCGAATTTTTTAGATAGCAAATACATTCTTTACAAGGATGGGCATTTCTTTTTAGGACTTTACTATTATCGGAGAATTGCAATGTGGATGAAAACTAAATGTTGAGGACGATTAGATTTCTCATTAAGACTTGTCACATGATGTGGCAGTCACGTGACTTTAGCAAATATACCTGAAGTATTGGGATCATCTATAAATTCTTATATTGCAAGGGCATAACCAAGTTAAAAATCTAAGTTTAACATATAATTATTTTCAACACTCTTTGTAGTTTGTGAAAAGTGCTGCGAACCTACTGTCTAATTGCTAAAGTTACATTTGTTAGACCGTATGTTGAATATTTTGCTGGTCAAGTACATTTAATATAGATATAATTAAAACATTTGCAAGATTTCAACAGGTTCGCAGCACTTTTCAAATATTTTCATACTTCTTGAGTTTATGTGTAAAAGCTTGTCATAATTCGTTGAGGGTATGCCCTTGCTATATATCGATTTATTACGACCCTTCTATTACCCTTCAATGAATCTGCATACAAATATACGACAGTATCGCTTGTCTAGGGAATGTACGGGAAGTATATGAATACAATCATAAAACAGACATCGCATCAAAGTTAATGGCCTCTTATATATCTACAATTTATATTTTATTTTATTACAAAATACATTTTTCATTGTATAAATATAACTTGATCCGCCTCTCACTGCATACAAACTGCATCAAATTTTCCGATATGACGTCACATTGACAAGTGCATTGCGATCAGTGAATTGTTTATATATTGCTGTGTGGGATTTAACCAACGACAATAATCCATGCACTAGTTAGTATTGATGTAGTTTAAAGCTATTCATAAGTTTAAAATAGCAGATCATTTCATTTTGCGGTAATTTGAAGAACTTAGATTTTTGTGTGATGTCATAATAAGCATTTATCGTATAAATTAGGCCCCGCCTCATTACTGCAGCCTTAACTGTGCTGTGTATACAACTGAGCTGTTGATATTTGTGCAGCAATACCAGCAATCTTTGGAATATTTCGTCTCTAAAAACACATTGTTTCGGTAAAATAAAATAGAGCATGCTCTTGCGCCGAAGCTTTTTTGTTGATGTCCATTATAATCCTGTGTAGTAAAGAACAATAACGTCATAATATGACATCATAATGTGTACTGGGTATCTCATGTCGTGGTTACCATGTATGTATTAGACAAAATAAGTTCTAACTTCCTCTGTATAATAGATATAGACCTTAAGCATTTTAATTTGTTTATTTGCATAGAAATGCCTATATCTAGTCTTAACTCACCTGCGCACATTTATTAATCCTTGCAATCCTTTTATTCGTCCCTCGCCTTCAAATACTCACCCTTTTGTCTGGATACACTTTTTAGGCCATCAATCCACTTCTAGAAACATTTTTCATACTCCTGAAGAGGGACACCCAGCATATACTGATAAATTGCAGACCAAAAGTCATTTCGTGATTTTGTATATTTTTCCAGATAGGTGGAATTTAAGTTTGGGGAACAGAAAGAAGTCACATGGGGCTTAATCTGAAGAAAACTGGGAGGGGGTGGTAGGACAGTAACCTTTACCGCCTCCAAATACTCGGTCACAATGCGTGCTTTGTGTACAGGCGAACTGTCGTTCAAAATACACTTCATATCCGGATTGGGGCAACGACTTTCGTAATATCATTTCAGTTTCTCAATAACAACATTTTTATAAAAGTTACCTGTGACTGTTTTGCCCTTTGGCACATGACAGGGCCTTTCTTGTCAAAGAAAATAACATGTAAAACCTTCTTCGCGGTTCGTAATCTTTGCAATACTAGGACGTTTTGCATTCTTTGTTGCACAGATTCTGTTATAACTCTTACGTTTTGGCTCAAAATCGTATACCCAGGTCTCATCAACAGTAACTAAATTATCAAAAGTCTTCTTGGTATATTTTGGATACAATTTTAATAATTTCTTCGCATTTTCAACGCGGACTCTCTTTTGTTCACTGCTAAGCAATTGAGGTATCCACCTAGCGTTTATCTTTCTAAGCTTAAGACTTCTTCTCAAAATACCATGAACACTGCACGTGCTAACGACAAGTTTGTCATCCGAGCCAATTGCATCACTGTATATCTTGCGTCTTTTTGTAAGATTGGCGGATTTATACGATGTTATTATTGGTTGTAACTTTTGAAGGGCGTTCTTGGCGAGCAGCATGTTTGAGGTGTTCGTAACCTGTGTTAGATTTAGCAACCCGCCTATAAACAGACCTATGAGACATTTGACCATTCCCATAGATGTCACAGACCTCACGATAAATATCTACGGGTTTTTTGCCAGGTAAGAACCTAACTTTTATATAAACCATAATTTCAAGTGCTTTGTTTACTCTTTTTCCAGTCATTTTGAGTATAGTGTAACAAATACGCTTTGAAGCAATGAACACTGTAGCTAAGTCAGCGAAATTGTGATCATGAAATTTTCTTCCGCTACGGTTCAGTGATCAATCTAACGTGTTAACGTGGATTCAGTAAGATATGTACATGATTTTAACGCGAAAAGGGTGAAATGACATTATTTTAGTGAACACTGCTCGTATTTTACAATAATTTATATCAATAATCTTCACAAATGCTATCGTTTTCAGAAATTTTCAGTTAGTACTCTTTTCCTAAATACATTTGTTCTGTGCTAATTAAGAGTTTTCAGATTAAACAGGAATTACAAGAACAATCGCTAGATGTAGGAAAAGATCTGGCCTTAGAAAGATATCTAAAAAAACCCATATCCTTGTGCGTGTTGTATAAACACGTCATGTATGTACAGTAAATCATACTTTATTTCCACGTGATTAAGCTAAACATTTAGCTGTACATTTTGCTAACAAGGCGCACAGCACTAGTGGAGTCAAATCTTAATCAAATACAATGATAAACATATTAAGTCCGGCAGAGTGTATGTAATAGTTTCTCTTTTACAACGGAATGTTCTAGTATTTAAGAAGGAACACTTATTAATCAAATTTGAGAATCGTGACGAAATAATTTACTATAATAACATACACTTTTGAAAAGTGACTGTTTTACACAGTAAATAAACTTTTTATAAATCTGTTAACTGGATTAAGTTTGATTATTTAATAAAGTCTTCACGTTTTGCAGCGAAGATCATTTTAGATTGTCAAAAAACAAAATGAATACTGTAGATTCCTTATCTTACGCGAGTACTTATAGGATATAGTATATATATATAGGACTCTACAGTAATCAAATGACGAAATCTAAAATTCTGTTTTGAAAAACACAAGCTGGTTCTTGGTCAAGCTTGTAACTTAATTGATCAATTTTCTTATGTCTCTAATGATGTTAAATTTTATTGTCATGTGTCTTAATTCTTTCTGTATTACTCTTGGCAGCATATACTATATCTAAGTTCAAAAGAATTAAGTACCCTTTTTAATATTGTTTAAAATTAATTTCAAATGTACCACTAAAAACATAAAAAAGTAACTCTGTTTATTCATTCTTTCTCTTTTAAAAATAAATCGACAGACTATTATATACTGTATACAGGGTTATTTTTGCCCCGTGTTTATTTTGCCCTTTCAGACTTGCAAACAATTTTGCCCCATTTTAACTTCGACACAGTTACATATGACTAAAATTGTAGTTTGAATTGTTGATTTTTTTTCTTTCTATGGTAATAAAGGTCAAAGTTAAATACTACAAAGTTTTCATTTTATGTGCAACAACACTGGAAAACTCATTCCAAAATGTTTCCAATACGGCCCTAGATTCTTCAGAAGGATGTTGACAAAAATAATTTTCGTTGATCAAATCCTTCAAGGAATTCGGACACTTTCGCTTAAAATCGTAGGCTCCCGGAAGAATGATTAAATATACATAATGAAGTCCTCCTCTCTTTTTTATACCCTCGAGTTTCGCCATGTTTAACTCGTAGTCCCTCCAGCCAGAACGCATGTAAGATTCCGAAACAACACAAAGAGTCATTTTGCTGCTCTCTATTGCGTCCATGATATTGTCAGCTTTTTCACGGCCAGGTAGAAAGTCTCTCTCACGAATACAAACGTCAAGATTTAATTCTTCTAATTTCAAAAAAAGTTTATTCAAAACGAATTCTCGATCCCGAGCAGAATATGAAATAAAAATGTCATAAGTGTAATTTAATCGATTCCTCTGATATAATATTTGCATATATCGACCTCCTGTCTTCAGTTTTTGTTTACATTGATAGATAGTAAATCTTATTGTCCAAATATTTCTTTTCACCATCACTGCAATGACCACAAAAATTAGAACGGTCAAGACGATGGATCCAACAATATAAAAGGTCGTATAAGACCGACATTCTACTACCAAAGATTTAAGAGATGTTACAGGATCGGTGAAATTAAAATTTTTCTGGCTTTTTATGGCACATTTGTAGTCATCAAATCTTTTGAAATTTTCTTTATGTTCAACCATCCACTTGATATATGGAACATTTTCACATGAACAGTCAACGTTATTCCCAGATAGATCTATGGAAGTGTTTTTCAGTTTTATCAAATTAGTTAGTTCCTTTCTGATTTCATCCCTGATAGAATCTATTCTATTTTCAGATAAATCAAGATGTTTTAAGTGACGCATATGTCCCACATGAACATTCCACTCAGAAAGTTGATTATTGTTAAGAATCAACGCTTTGATATTCCAAGACCTTTTCAGAAGTAAATAAGGCAAATGATAAATCTTATTAGAGCTTAAGTCCAAAGTCTCCAACGAAACCAAATTTCTAAATATAAGTCCATTCACGTCGCTTTCCAGGTTATCTCCAATAGAGTTTCTTGAAATATTGAGATGCAGAAGTCCTGTTGCATTAACAAAGAAGTCGGATGACAGTTTCGTGCAGAAATTATTGGAAAGATCAATAAGACTGACATTTTGTATTCCGTACACTGGTCCTATCCATTCATTCAATATATTATCTTGAAAAAACATGTGCCTCAATTTTGGTGCAATTAGACCAATTGCAGATATCTTGGAATACAGTCTACTGTTATTTGCATATATTGTTTGGAGATTTTCAGGGCAATGTACATATATAACTGGTTTCCAATGAGAAACCTTTGTGCTATACGATTTTCCAAAGTTGTGGAGAAAGGTTGAGAAATTTGTAGAATCCCTGTGCATTGTGATGTTAAAAGTCTCCGGATCATCTTGATTTTCTTTGCAAAGCTCGAAGACTGCAGTAACGTATTCTGGTGGCTGAAACTGTAGACTCATATTAAACATAGTCAAATTATGAAAACCAATAAAGTCCGCTATGTATGGGCCTTGTAGAAGTTTATTCTCAGCCAACGATAACCTTTGAAGGGTTGGCGGTAAATATCGTACAAGACCTCTTTCGAACAGTTCCAACCTATTTCTGGATAAAATCATCTCTTCTAACTTGGTTTTTCTCAGGTTAATGACATGGCGAATTAACAGTCGTTTTCCTAATCCCGTCAAGCAGTTAATATTATGCAAATTAAGCCTTTTGATTAATGTTCCCGTTAGATTACATGTTACATTTGGGAGAGAAGCAAAACCCAATTCTTTGTTGTAAGAAATATCCAGCGATTTCAAATTCCTTAAAACTCCAAATGCTCCTCTCTCAATATGTTTGATTTTACAAGATGAAAGATCTAGATGTTCAAGGTATGGTGTATTGAGAAAAAAGTCGTGTGTAATTTTTATAGTTTCACAATGTCCTCTAAAACCGGAGAGGTCCAACAGAATAAGATTCTTCAGGTTGCTAAAGCCTTTTGAAAGTACAAAGTTACCCACTGCATCCATTCTTAGTTCCTTTAACGAAATCAATTCACTGAGAATTTCTCCAAGATAACTCCAGTTTCCTTGCAACTGTACAGAATTGTTTTTCAAGTTCACACAACGTAAGGATTCTAAAGATTTAAAAAGTCCTGGATAAAAATTTGTCTCACTCAGACTAAGTTTATTACTAGATATATCCAAATACTTTAGCCTTGGGATGTTGCCAAAAGGATTATCTTTTAGAGAATTTATGCCGTTGTGAGAAAGATCCAAATGCTTCAAGTTTTTCGGATAACTGACCGAAATATTTTCAATAAAGTTAAATTGTAGATTGATCCAGATAACATTAGGTGGAAATATCGGAACTTGAGTCAAACGTAAATGCGAGCAGTCTGCCTTTAATAACCCCTCGTCTGATTCCAAACATATACAAGTTGTTTCACTGAAATTGCAGGGTTTCCACTCACCATGGTCCTCACGGTGAAAACTGCCTCCATAGGATGAACAAGGAACAAACAATGCATATAATGTACATAATATATGGAAGACACTTTGAGTAGCAATCTTGACCATGCTGTTCACCTTAATTTTCTCAGCATAAGCCAGGGAAGTAAAAATAATCTTTATCTTATAATATTAATAAACACGGAAGTTAAAAAGGATGAATGGGAAAAACAGCCTCGTTGAAAATGGGGATTAAAGGTCGCCGTTATAGTATTATTCGAACGCTAGCGCTTCAATGAATATTAAAACATTTAAATCACGGAATTGAATTCATTGGGGTCTGCAAGGCATAACGTATTTATGCCTGATAGAGAACTTCTCTTAATAGTCATTCATTATATAACAAAGATTTATCAGAGGTGGTTAGATAAGGAAATCGAAATTTAAAAAATTGCACTTCCCATTACATATCCTCTGAGAGAGAGAGAGAGAAAGAGAGAGAGAGAGAGAGAGTTATATTGAGAACTCTCTATACACTGCACACTTAGGAATTCTAATTCGTTGGTATTTTTTGGCAGATCGAGTAAAATGTTCTAAGATATAAATTGAAATAAATTGTACTTTACAGTTTATTTTCTCAATAAGTTACCTAATATATGAATAGGAGAAGATATTTACTTTCATGTATTGTTACCTATTAAGTGAACAACAGTTAACGTTATATCTGTTCATCAGAATTTCGATGTCTTGAACATTATTCCTGAGAGTATATGCCAGGTACCATATCTTAAAAATTACATATTTAAAAAAAACAACAACAAAATTAATAAATATTCAAAAAGAAAGATAACTACTACAATGAAAAAAGGAAAAGTTTATTTTTTTTATTTCAACAAATGTGTTCAAAAATTTCGACACTTTATTAGAACTTCATTTCATATTCTTTAATATAAAGTGCATTGCCTGTATTTCACTTTGTTCTGTCTAAAGAATGTGCGGATCTGTTTGTGTGCACTGGAGCAAAAACGTCGTTGATGTTATTTAATATGTGGTATTGACACATAAAAAAAGAAGAAAAGCACCCATTTTGAAAATTTTTGTGCATTCCTTCCAATGTTTATCCTTGTCTCAATATCCCTTAAATAACTTACTGCACTTAACTTGTACATGTATATACTTTTCCAACTTTTTTTCTCACAGAAAATTCTTTTGAACGCTTTGAACATGTTGAACCAAATACTTGTTGACTCAGATGTTATTTATTGTCTAATATTTACAAAAAACGGTTACGGCAGCTTGATGGTGTGCAAAAAAAAAGCATATATATAACATGAACAATTAATCATCTTTACATTCCATGTGGGATTTCGTATAAACTGTGAGCTCACGACTTGCTGTAACATGTTGAAAACTACGTGAGCAAATAAAACGTTTCCGGACTGCTGTTGTCAAATTTGGTATTGTATTTTAATAAAATTGATTTTGTTTCCGTTGTGTTTCCGTAAAATTATCCTCCGACATATAAGTGGAATTGAATACACACCTGAAAAAAGATAATCAACCAGTTTTGGTCAAATTGCTGACTACAGTTTTCGGAACGAGATCATCAGCAACATGAAAATTGCGGTCTATTTGATGACTTACGGTGTGCTTGGATTTGCAGCTGGAAAAAGTATTCAACTCAATCAACAACTTCCTCGCAAAGATCGGTTATTGAAGAGAATTGAGTGCATACTAGGTGATCAGAAACAGTGTGAACGGAAAGTATTAAAACCGAGATGGTACAGAGGAGAAGAAAGTACAATATACACCAATGGAAAAATATATGCTGTTCATGGTAAACGCTGGGATGAAATTCCACAGGAAGCCATGGTTGTGAAAGGCGGTAAAATTAACTTCGTAGGAACTTCATCTGAAGCTTTGGAGTATTTCACGTATCAGAGCACGGTACTAGATCTTCATGGAGCAACTATACTGCCAGGAATTCATGATGTCCACATTCATCCACTGGAGTCAGCCTCGGAGGTCGGTGTTACATGTCAACTTAAGTCAAATACAGATCCCGATAGCGAAGAAATTAAGAACATTTTCAGAACTTGTGCCAAAAGGCAGATCGGAACAAACTGGATTCTAGGAGGCGGCCATTCAATTTCAAGTATTTTGAAACACATTAGGAATGGTGGGAAACCACCGAGGAAGATAATCGATGAAGTTTTACCAAATGTCCCAGTTGTAATGTTAGAGGAAACGTCGCATTCCGTTTGGGTGAATACCAAGGCACTTCAACTGGCTAATATCACAAAATACACTACAAGAAGACCTGGAGGTGTTATCATGAGAGAACCAATGACCAATGAGCCTAATGGAATTCTGCTGGAGGATGAGGGTATATCTATAATGGAATTTGCCTTAAAGCCAACGGCCGAGTTGGAGGAACTTAACTATCAAGGACTAATATATGGTCTTGAAAAATTAAACGCCAATGGCATAACCTCAGTATGTGATGCCAGGTTGTTTTGGACTCGTAACCACGACAAAGCATGGGATAGGGCATGCAGAGATGATAAATTAACAGTGCGTGCTAATCTTGGACTGTGGGCATATCCACAGAAGGAAGATGGATATCAAATCCAAAAACTGAAAGACATGTACACTAACGGTAACCCAGATTGCTTTCTTAAGAAAAATCAAATCAAAGTGTACATTGATGGTTTGCTAGAAAGTACAACCGCTGCCATGGAGGAACCCTATTTGGAAAACTTGCATTTACCTGGTATTCCTGACAACAGAGGCATGAATATTTTTGACCAAGCACGTTTAACAAAGTACGTCAGAGAACTTCAGCACTTTGCTGAAGGCAAAGGCTTTGATTTCCATATTCATGCAATTGGTGACCGTGGTGTTCATCAAGCACTAAATGCGTTCAATGATTCGTGGATCCAAGGCACTCGTCATCGAATGACCCACCTTGAGCAAGTTGATGAACTGGATATCAATCGCTTCAGACGTTTAAATGTCATTGCCGACTTTCAAGTCGCCGGAAACTTTACTTTGCCCTCTTACCGAAAAGACCTTGCAAAATTGGTAGGCAAAGATAGGGCGTACAATTCCATTCCTGTAAAGAGCGTGTATGACACTGGGGCTAAAGTGACACTAAGCAGCGACTGGGATGTCAGTGACTTGAACCCTTTTGTTGGCCTTCAGCACGCCATTTCTAGAGGTCATCAGTCTATCACTATTCAATCAGCCGTGGAGATGTACACAATCAACGCCGCTTATGCTATGAGACAGGAGGATGTTGTTGGGTCTCTGGAAGTAGGGAAACATGCCGATTTTATCGTAATCGATACAGACATCATGGATCCCTCTAATAAAGATTCCATTTATCAAACCAAAGTCCTCCAAACCGTACTGGAAGGTGAGGAGGTCTACTGGAAAAGAAATGATTTCATCAAGGATGTCACGTGTACGGTTTCCGAGGGAGGGTGCTATTATAATGGCTGTGACTATTATTAGATATGCTATAATTTTAAGTTGCGTTATTTTCTTCAAATCTTAGCCGGAAATGATATACTGTAATCATTTACTGTGGTCGTCAATACTGTACATTTTCGTGTATTATAACAAATTTGTAATTTTACGTTATGTAAACATTTTGGAGAACAAAAAATCGGAGGTATTTACGGCGCTAAGTGCAAAAAAAAAAAAAAAAAAAAAAAAAAAAAAAAAATTAGAAAATATTTTTTTAATCATCGAGCATAAATATTTTAATAAAGGCATGAGCCCTATAACATTTAAAGATGGCTGACTCCGTGGATAAACTAATTTTGATATACAAATTGTTTTCAAAAGGCCGAATTAGCATTAAAGGCAATCATTTCTACCATTCTTTTAATCAAGAAAAATGATACTTTATCCGTTCATATAAGTTAAATAAAGAACTTAATACTACATTAAATTAAGCTTTTAATTCAATATTTCTAGATAATGTTCTCTAATTTTCAGTGATAAAAAAATACGGAGAATGAAAAAATAAAGTTTTGTCCATCATAGAAAATTTACAATCTCTTTTTGCTTTAGGAATTTTACATTTACATCATTTACAATTACAAAAATAAATCCAAAACTCTATTCCAATTAAATCTTTCGTTGGTAGCAATTTCTTCTTACATAACTGTTACATGACAGGAAGATACACGTGTATTTTGCGCTGTATTTCATTCCCGGAATTTTGCATAGCATTTCCGGCATTTTTGTTTTTATTTCCGAGCTTTATTGAGCGTACGTTTTATCCTTCTGCACATTTATTTCTTTACATTTCCGTAATTTTTGGAGGGTACCTTCAAGGCAATTTAAAATTTACCGAGTAGGAGGAAATAGAATTTTAATAGGATATAAATATTTCATTTCTTTCAAACAACATTTTCAGAATAAAAATATTACAATACACTGTATATACATGCAGCACTAAATCAAGTTAAAAGTTTTGCATCAAAGGTGCATGCTTGTTAACAGGACCCCCCCCCCCCCCTTCGAAGATACACTCCGAGTCCAAAGATATCTTTATTTGTCTTCTTTCATAAATTATTCTTCTTCTAGAACACATTCACATTATACTTACAATGTATTTCATATGAAAATTCCAAAAAAAAAAAAAAAAGTAGAATAAATGTTTTATTAAATAAATCATGCCCGCGTCAATACCGTGGGTAGGATTTAAAAAAAAAAATAAAACGTTTATTCTACGTTATTATTATTTTTTTAATTTTATATATATATATATATATATATATATATATATATATATATATATATAATTTCCATATTCCATATGGGATACATTGTAAATGTGTAAGTGTCGGAAATGAAAAGCTAAATATGTTTGAAAATTCCGGAAATGCAGCCGTATATTGAGTGCAATAAATTCTAAACCCATGTGTGGCACATGAGTGCGTGCGCAATTTTAACTGATTTAAGTCTAATTTATAATTATGTATTTTTCTTTTATTTAAGAAAAGAACTAAGAAGATGGTAATAAATGTGTTGGTGTAAATTTGAAATTCAGATATAAATTTGGAAAGTTTAGAAAATAAAATCAGTACGTCAGGCCTCCTTCTAAAAAAAAGATGGTTAAAATAATAGTCAGTTAGATAGGTAGGAAGAGAAATTTTTACTTTAAAAAATTGTAAATATAAAATTAAAATATTTGTTGACGGGACGAGGAAATTGCCAAATGAGTAAAACAAAAATTGGTCGGAAGATGGAAACAGACTTTTTTTAATGGCCTAGCTTGTGGAAAAACGAATAGAAATGTATTTTATGTATTTTTGTATACATGCATGTATTCAATTTTATAGCAACGAATCTAATTTTGCATGTACCTGTATTTATTTATAAGCTGGGGAAAAATTTGGAAATAAAAAGCACTGTATAAGACAAAATAATGCATACATTCGGAAAAATAAAAAAAAGACTATATGTATACTTTTTTCTTTAAATTCCAATCATTACATGGTCCAATTTTTACAACAACTTAACAAATAGAATTTTATTGTGTTTATGGTAGCATTCTTAAAGTATTGCTCAAGCAACAATCTCCCAATATTTTGTTTCGTCCAGATATTGCAATACCTATAAAACTAATACAGTCAAAATGTTATTTATGGACATTTACAATAGGTAATGAGTCCAGAAACCCTAAATCCGTCAAAAATGAAAGAAGTGGATCGAAATGACTTGTCAAAGTAGACTCATGGGTTTGTAGGGAGGAATTAATGTAATGATTTATGAGTGATTGACAGGGATATCGACCTGGATAGCTCAATCGGCGTAGATCTACAGCGCCTAACTGTGACTATACATTTTAAGTGATGCAGGGGTCCCAGGTTCCATTCCCGGTCAGTACATACATTTTCCCCTTTCCTGTGCAATAATTTGGTGCTGTTGACCATGCACCCTTGAAAGTGAAAGAACTTGGGTTAATTGCGTGTTCGAGGGAGGGAGGAATGTAAGTGAATGCTTTTGGCCGTGTATATATCGGCTTGGGTGTAGCTCATGTAGTTGGTCAGAAGAGCACCTGACTAGTGATTCAGAAGTCCCGCAAGGTTCGATTCCTGGTCCAGCCATACATTTTCTCCTTTCCCGCAATGTCAAAGGTGTGATTTTTGCCTCTACGCCATCATGCTATTTTTACTTAGGAAACAACCATTAAGTGCGGGGGGGGGGGGGGGATTTTTTTTCGAGTTATATTTATTTTATTGCCAGTCAAGGAGAGATTACACTGTATTTATTTTCTTCTTCGCCGCTGAAAAAGTTTGACACCCCCCCAAAAAAAATCCCAACATTCTAAAGCTCAATTTCATGGAGGGGGGGGGGGGGGGCATTTGTCAAGGATAGATTATGTATTTTCTTGCCGGTTGAATACAGACGATTACAGATTATTTATTTTCAACATTTTCGAGGACAGCCCCCCCCCCCTTTCAGAATCAAATGTTCGTCCCCTTAAATTTAATTGCATTCGTCTTTATTTATTTATAATAATTTTTATTTTTGGTAAGCCCAAAATGTCGTAGGACTTTTTTCTCCTAACTGTCAAAGATTTTTCTCCTAACTGTCAAAGATTTTTCTCCTAATTGTCAAAGATATTCCGCCAAACTCCGAGACACATCTACCCCCCCCCCCTTTTCAATTTTTGTAACTCAACACTCTACAGGTTGAGGATTATAAAACTCATATCTCTCGGTCGTATCAGTACTAAATAAGTTCAATAGTACACTTTTCTCTCTCTCTCTCTCTCTCTCTCTGTAGGAGAGATCCAAGTTTGCTTTAGCGGTTATCGTTCCTGTTCAAGAATGATAACTTATTTACTTCCGGTAAGATGTCAAGTAAATTTATAGGCTGACACCAGCACTTTCAGTCTAAATCAGTTCCATTGCGCAAGGAAGAAAACACAAACAAATATGTCTAACACTATTCTTGGATTAAAACCTTTACAGTTTGTCCATATTTTGGATTTGGTAAGTTAATTTCTGGTGGCATTTTGTAGAAAGTTGAAATCCAAAGGATGTTTTAAAATTAATGTTTGTTTACTATGCAGGGGCCTTGGGTAACTAAAACCGTAAAGATATCCTGGGCTCTTTACATTGTGTCCTTATTTGCAAAGAATGCATATTAAGATAACGGAGGGAAAAAAATATTGGTTGTTTTTGGAATAATCTAACTGTGTCTCGGGACAAACCCTCTCCACAGTGACTGAGTGAGAATTAATTAGCTCTTGAGGAAATAAGTGACCAATAGCGTTGCATGTCCATAAAGTTGTTTATTTCATTTAGAAGAGGAACAATAATTCAGATTTCCCTCTTATGTTAGACTTAAGCTTCTCATGATTTTAATGACAATGTGCATTGACAGTATGACATATGCACACACTTGAAACTTTTATAATTGTCCAATACACTTTTGCAGAGGCTATAAATAGAAATGATTCATCACTATTTTTTCCCAAACTTTGTCTATGATGTCTGTAAATTCATCAGTGGTTTTTCCAATCTAAATCTTCCGAATTTTTTATTGTCTTACAAGATTCTGTATTTTGCAATTTCAACAATTAATGTACATGTATTTACAAGTCAAGTGTAATGAACACATTTACATGTATATTGCTTGTCTGAGCCACATTTCCTCTCACAATGTAGACAAGTATTCAAACATTTTTTTTTCAATTGTCAGGACTTTAATTTTTGGAATATCCTTCTTCTGGGTCTTAAATAAAAAGTTAAACATTAATTTTTTTCCTCATTTTGTTTATCATCATTTTCTTATGTAATTTTTTTACTCCCCCTCCTCCTCCCCCCTCCCGATTAGGATAATAATAAATACTATATTGTTCTCTTTTGATTAATATCGGCCTCATGACCATCAAAGGGGCCTGAAGGGGCCTTGTACATATATACATGTATATATAAATAAAGACTCATTAACCTTGCTTTCAAATCAAAAAATTGAACTTCAAATTGATGTTTTACATCATATGCATTTTACAAAAGAAGTATATATCAAATTTAGGTCAGTATGTATATGTATGCAATATAACCATGATAACAATTATATTACAAGTATTCATCAGTAAAACAATCATTAAAGCTATGTACATGTATATGGCTAACACAATTTGACTGTTAATTTTTCATTACATTGTTTTTTCTCTCAAGTTAACTGCCTGTCTGTTTATGATACTTGCTAATTTTTTTTCTTTTTGTACAGAACTCAAACATCACCAGACTTGAAGTTGGACCTCAGACTGTACCACTGAAAACAAATGAGACGCTGGTGACCCAGCCCTTACCTATGGTCATTGTAAAACCTGGCTATTACTGTATTATCAAAGATCCTTGCAGGTACTATCTCACAAGAAATGGTTTTTTTTTTGTCTTTCATAATATGTTTTGATTTTATTTGTGTTGGAAAGGGGGAGGGTTGGGGAAAGGGGGGTTGGGTGGGTGGGTCGACCTATGTACATATTGAGGCACATTCTGTTTGTGTATAGAGTCATATTATAGTCCTTTTGGGGAGTGGGGGTGTAAAGAAAATGTGGAGGATTAGGCTTAGGATTAGGATTAGAAGTAAATAAATTTACAATGCAAAATAATGTTTGAATTCTTTTATAGCAATTATATACCAGGTGAAGCAAGTGAGCTGAAAATAGGACAAACTGCAGTCAAGTTTAATGCAGTAAGTTAATTATATTGTTATACAGTACAGCATGAATTCAAGAGATAGATTGATCAATTATTAGCCTCGAAGATATGTTTGCTAGCAAAATCTGCAGGCTTGAATAAGTATCAAGGTTAGAATACAAGCTTGCTGCTTGTAAATGATATACATGTAATAATCTGATTCAACCAACTTTAAAATTTCTTCTTGGATTATAGAAACTAGGAAAATTGAAATGCCTAGGAATCAGAATCCTGATATCAATGCAGTATTTTATATTTACTTTAATTTAACTCCCAGAAGATTTGAAAAATAAACAGAAGTGAAACGTACAAAGTTTGTTTCTATATATAGGATTTTTGTTTCTATTTTTAGGATTCTCCTTTTCCCTTGTACCCAGGGGAAACTCTTCTCCATGCACCTGACTTCCTGAGGAATAGGCCAGACTACAGCATAGCTATCAAACCTCTACCTGTCATTCAGGCCAATCATGCAATACGATTGGTCGCTAACGTTGACTTTGAGGATGTCCATGGAAAACACCAGGCTGGAGATAAATGGCAACTGGAGGGACCTGTGACCTACCGACCCCAGCCAGAGGCAGTAAGTACATCATAAAGGGTCAACAAGGTCAACCTGGGCCATTAATTGAATCAATTTATTTAAAAGCTTTTTATACCTTCAGATAGAGTAAAGTACAAGAAAAAAAATTGATTTTGGAAAGAAATTGTTTTTATTGAAAATCATGTAATACAGCAAATAGAAATTAACTTGACTGAATCAATTCATTACCAAATTTTTTTTTTAAATGCAGGAAGTTGAAGGCATCATCAAACCTGTTGTAATTAGGCAGGGAGAGTCATTGAAATTAAAAGCAACTCAGGAATTCACAGATCGATTTGGAAAGTAGGTGTCTTGTTCTGTTATTTTGCATTTTAAAGCAAACAATGAAAGTTAGCTTTGTTAAGTTGTTAAATATACAGCACACGCAGTTTAGTTGTCTTTTATATACAGCATCTTTTATGTGTTAATTTGCTTCTGTAAAGCTTGTTCTCCTGTGTTACATGTATTTAATCACTCGTTCAAAGTGCATCTAATACATGTACCGGTAATCTAGGGGGTAGAAATATATGGAAGGTCAACTGAGGTTTTAATACATCATTTGGGGAGATGGGATAATAAGAATGGGGGGGGGGGGTAGGAAAAATGAAATTGATATCAAATAATTTTCTCCTTTTTTTAAAGCAATATGAGCTGCATTTTGGGGAATTTTATTTTGCTGTTAAAGTGTGTTATTATGATAAATTTGTATGTAATTTAAACCTTTATGATCAATTAAACTAAAATAAAGTATTTAATTGTTTTAGAAGAAAGATTTCCTAACAATCAAATATATATTATTATATAAGAAATTAATATTGTACTGGACGACAATAAATGTACCGGTAATTTTGCCTCAATCAAAGCTTATTTATAGTTTTTTACATCGCAAATATGAACAACAGAAGTTTATAAATGTTCTTTTTCCTGTCATTGAAATTGTTAATTACAATTTTGCAACAAAAATTTCCAACATCAAAGTTGCAGCTCATATTGCTGTAAATTGGTGGATATGGAGAATGATTCATATTTAATATATATATGTATAATCATTTAATCAACAAATTAATAGAATAAATATCATATCTTAAATATTTTAAAATGCAATCACTTGAATAAATGAAAGCCTATCATAAACCTTGGAGATAAAATTTAGAAATACATGTACTTAGAATTTATCTTCCAGTTTATATAGTAAATATGTATTTTGCGTTCTTTTCTTTTGAAAGGAAACGAGTTACTGGGGAGGAATGGATGATCAACAAACCAGGAGCATACCTCCCTGATGTTTATGAAGAGGTCAGACTTCTACAAAATTTATCATATTTACCATAACCTCTGTTCTGTACTCAAGGCTTAGAGTACCTCACACATTTATTTATTGAAATTCTAACAATAGCCACTTTGAAAATGAGACAGATTTACCAGTATGTAGAACAGACAAAACTTGTCTGGATTTAATACCAGGACGTACATGTAGAGTTTCCTCCTTTCTTCCTCTCTAGAAACCCTCAAAATAGAATTGTGCACCGTGATTGATTCTCCATTTATTTTTAATAATGGTTTTTGGCATCTTTCCAGTTTTGTTTGGATTTTGCATGCAGATATAACTGCTAGTATTGCTTGCATGATTGTGCATACAAGTACATGTATATGCATGTGCCGTAATGACACATTCTGCACATCTGTGTACTTCCCTTTAAATTTTTGAACATTGATGAATGTATACACCCTTTCCTTATCTCCCACCAAGTTTGTCCTCATTCTAAATAGAAATTAATTGTTAACTGGGCTAGTTGAACAAAAAACTATCACCTGCAGTTTAAGAAGCAAAGTTTTTTGAGCAAATCTAGAATTTGATAATGTCACTTTTTGACAAATTTGGTGAAAACAATATAGAGTCAGTGATAATTTATTAGTTTACAGTTCCTAGAAGATACATGTACAAATTCTTGAAACACTTGCTTTAATGGTCAGTACATGATAAAGACGATGCTTCTGCAATTTGTATAATCTTGACTACATGTAGCTTACACAAAATGACATTACCTTGGTGTATTTATTACATGTGGAAATGTTTAGAAAAAAATTAAAAATATTTGACATTCATTTTATATTGAATATTTATACTGTATTTTGACACTGTACATGTACCTTGGTTGTATAAAGTATGTGTTGACATTGTACCTATATATTGTAGGTGGTTTCTGTACAGAACTGCATCACTCTGACCCCAAACAATGGAATTTTCCTGCAGGCGTTACAAACAATGGTGGACAGCCAAGGAATTAAAAGGTATACATTCATAAAGGAGGGAAATTTAGAGACGAAAACCATATGGTACAGAGTTGTAAATGGATGGTAGTATTATACTTTAATTAATTGACAATAATGTACTGTAAACCAACTTTTATTTGAGAGTACATTTTATTTTACATGTATTTGGGATTTTACATTGAATGCATAATTTATTAAAAGAAAAGGTACACATGTTCCTTGCTAAATTTTTTTTGTGAAAAGAAGAAGGTTTTCCAAAATGGCAAATTTTTCCTGCTCTCAAACAGAAGTAATAAGATTACAATAATGATTGATTTAATTATAATTGGTTAATTTAATTAATCAGAATGGCCGGAGAGCAGTGGTTGTTGACTGGTGCTGAGGCTGATCATTATTTTCCAGAAATTGGTGTGGTAAGCATCGCTATTTCAAGTTTTTTTTTTCACAAAATAACTTTTTTCCATTTTTTAAAGGAAGGAACTTGTATGTGCATTCAGTGCAGATGTTGGTACAGAAATAGATTATTATCCTGTGAGGAAACAAAATGTAAAACTGCATTGTAAAAAGTGCAAATTTAAAATGAGAGGATATTGTTTGCATTAACTCGCAAGGGTCAAAGTGTTAAAATAACCTTGGGCAAAAATAAACCTGTATATTAAATTTTGCTCAAGAGGAAGTTTTAAATTCATCCAGGCACCATGTATATAATTATATATAAATATATATATATATAAATATATATATATAAATATATATATATATATATATATATATATATATATATATATATATATATATATATATATATATATATATATATATATAATATATATATATTTTTCCAAACAGGAAGTGACATCAGCAGAGACCATCAAGGTTTTGTGGAGAGGACAGTATTGTGTCATTAAAGACGTGGTAGACAAAAAGGGAAAGCCACAGTTGAGCAAACGAGAACTCAGAGTGGGGCCCTGCAGCTTCTTCCTTCACCCAGGTAAAAAGGGGAGAGGATTAATTGGGGCTTGTATCTTTTCCTTTATTATCATTTGTAAAGTAAGCAGAAAAAAGGGGTGGGCATGCAGGTTTCTGATCGTTTCTCCATATAATTCCCACGCACATGTAATTATGCCAATTAAAAATAAAGTTCTTGCAAATAAAATGTACACAGTCGCGTGGTTCAACCAAAAAAGAAATGATATTTATATGTCAGCAGATAACATACAAAACAATGTTTCTTTATTTTTTAGTTATGGTATTTTTGTTTACCGGTATGTCCACAATATCATTGATAATAAAATTAATGTATCTTTCCAAGTAACAGCAGATCCTTGAGAATAAATAAGTGAATGTTTCCAGGTAACATCTTTACTTGTGAAGGACTCATTAGAATACTTTTTTTGTGTGTAGGGGAGAGTTTGGAGAAAGGAGTCCAAAATGTCCACATTCTAGGAGAAGATGACGCCATTGTTCTACAGGCGGAGGAAGAATACAGAGATCTCATGTTCAAAGGTGATCTAATCATTTTATTAGATTCATGATGAGCAAGCTGGCTTGAGGAAATTATTTTCCAGTGAGGCTAATAATACATGTACACGTATATCACAAGTTGACTTTGAAAACAAACTACAGTTAAACTTCATACTATCTTGAACATCATTATCTCATATACCATGGAAATGTCGAAGTCAGTTGGAACTTCGAAGTCCAAACCAAATTACCTCAATGTTTCTCAGCCTCAATATCTCAGGTCCTTGGATATCTCTTAGTTTTTTCTTTGGCCCCATTGAGTTAGAGTTACATATAGCTGTTGAGGTTTCACTGTATATTGGGCCACACTTCTTTTTCTCCCAAGTGCGGCCCTCTGCAAGCATGACAACTTCATGTTATTAAAACACTATGTTTATAGACAAGGAATACACAAATGGTATTGGTAATTTTAAAAGTGAAGAATTTTTTGTATGTGAAGAGCTTGGATGATGAGAAATATGTCCACCTTAAAGCTTTTTTTATTATTATTTTTTTTAAGTTACTGCAACTTCAGTGGATGGGTCTTATTAGAGATACAGATGCTGTTTTGCAGTTTTCACATTTTGAATTTACCAATGTATGAACTTCAAATTACCACAAAAACTGGCTAACCACCAAAATTAACCTTTCTATGTATTATACACTGTAGGTAAGAGGAGGAGCCCTGGAGATGTGTGGATGCTGAGGGGACCCCTGGAGTACATACCCCCCATAGAAGTCAGGGTCATCAAAACTAGGTAAATAGCTAACTATGTAAATCTTGGAGGAAGTTTTATATTGTCATCTAATACTACATATACACATATATAGTCAGTGGTCATTATGCTTGGGAGAGTAATTTTCTTTAAGTCATAATCTAGAATTTGTAACATTATATCCCTCTGTCTACAATGTGGTTGTAGAAGATTGATCAATTTATTATGTCACCTCTGCCTTACTGTAAACTTGGATACTTAAGTGTGCTATTAATTACGCTAATTATTGCAAAGCACATTATGGATAGAGGTTATTTTTATGAAGCCAGAATTACATGCATCTATGTATTGCTAAAAGTGAGTAAAACAGTGAAGTATTAAAAAAAAAAATTTCTAGGTGGGGGGGGGGGGGGGGTTTGGTTGGAAGAGGGGATTTACGTGAAATTTTTTATGATATAATTTTTTTAGTGTGAATTCCCCCATTCTTAAATTTCCATGTTTACGTATACTATACTATCAAAATTTTTGTTATAGGATTACAAAAACTGATATAAAATTAATTTTTGCAAAAAAGGGATACAAGTGTGGATGTATATCCTCTTACCGACGGATTCTTGTTAAACCTCTGAAATTTTTAATTTTTTTTTACTTAATTTGCAGAACCAAGATTCCTTTGAGTAAGAATGAAGGAATTTACATCAAAGACTTACAGACAGGAAAGGTAAAAGCATTAAACTAGACTAGTATAGTACATTAATAGGGGAGAATGAAATTATTTTACTATTAGTTTGTCTCACATAATTATGCCAAAAATAAGTACTACTGTAAATCGACAGTTTCTACTTGCAATAACATTACTTTTGCTAGTTAATGATTCGATGGATAATGATAAAAAATTGACAATCTGAACAGCATTTACTTTATAACCTGGTATTCAATAGCCTCCAGGAGAACAGCTCTCCTGAAATTTAAGTCAGGGACTCAAGGCTAGCTGGTTTCTTGAAAACCAGTCAAAATGGTCTTGTGAAAAATGAAGCTTGGAAGAAAAGCTCATTTTATACCTGTATTGCTGTACTTTATTTCACTAACATAAAAAAATTCTTGTGGAGTCAGTTTTAATTGCATTGAATGAGATGAAAAACAAAAAAATGGTTTTGGTGATATGTTACAAGTACCAGTATCTTAATTGGAAATTAAATCTTATAAATTACAAAACAGGTGAGAGCAGAAATGGGACCTAAATCCTACATGTTGTCAGAGTTTGAGGAGCTGTGGGAAAAGGACCTACCCGCAGTTACTGAAGAATTACTCAAGTAGGTTAACCTCATTTACTGACGTATCAAAAACAAACCTGTCTTGAATTTTTTTTACAAATTAAATCATCGAATTATTAAATGAAAAAAATAGTTTGAGAATAAAGACATCCAGTTAACTTTTTCTAATGAGAATACCAAAGGTTCCATAGAAGTTCACCAAGTTAGCCAACATCAGATTAAATGTTTGAATTTCCTGAAAGGGACTAAAAGTTTTCGTTGAAATATATAGACATGATTTCAGATACACAACATCTGATTTAGACAAATTCACTGTATTTTACATTCAGTTATCAGAAAAATGACATAAAACTATACAAAAATTATTTGAGAATGTTATTTAATAAATGAGTAATTTATCATTTATTTATTTCTTATTTCATAAAGTTATACAGAAACTATTTGTCAATGAGCATGTTAAATGCATTATTTTATCCTTTAACATTAATTTCCTATTTACTCAACAGACAAGGAGGTGGCTTAGGGACAGGAGATATAAGAAAGATGGCTTATTTTGAACAGTCTATTGATCCCCATGTACTAGCGGTAAATATTACCAATTTACCACAATTTTAAGTGTGATTACCACTGAATTATTTTAACTTTTAACTTCAAACATGAAGGTTATTTTAGATTAAAGGCTGATTTTTTTTTTTAACTGTAACCATGGGTTAAAAGTTTAAACATATCTTTTGAGATTTTTCATTTGTTAGGGTTGTTGAAAAACTTATTTTTTCAGGGAAGAAACAAGACAAGGGTCGTGACCTACCGTTGCCCTGGTAACACAGCTGTTCAGGTGTATAATTACCTGGAGAAGACTGCTAGAGTGGTGTTTGGTCCAGATCTAGTCATTCTGGGGCCACACGAGAATTTCAACGTGCTCAGTCTCAGTGGTAAGATAAAGCCAGTACTTTAATATTGTGAAATTTTTTTTTCAGCAAGCTAAGAAACAAGTCTAGAAAAATGAAGTATGTTTTTTGAGTCATTCTTTATTTAAAAATTGTCAAAAAAATTGTACATGTATTGGAAGGGATTGCTAGACTTTGCAGTGCACTTGTCTCAAATTGAGAAATTGAAGGAAAAAAAAAAACGTTGTATTAAAGATACATTGGACATGTATGTCATAAAATTGAGACATTTTTGGGTAATTGATTGTGTTTTATTTTAGCTGGAAAACCAAAGAAGTCCAATTCTTTGAAGTCTTTGTGCCTTATGTTGGGTCCGGATTTTATAACAGACATATTAGAGGTACACCCATACATGTATATACTTAATTTACAGTATACATGTGCAGTGTATGAACAATGTACAAGTATGTCAACATACAAAAATTCTGGAAATTCTGTAAACATACTTTTTTCCAAGGGATCATAATTCTGCGCGATCTGACTTTCTCTTCAATCTGCGGTAGAAAATTACAAAAATTTCTTGGATCGCTTTTATATGTCTTTAATGCATTTTAAGAATTCATAGAAAATTTTCCAAGGTAAATTTTTGACCGCACACGTATAGAATAAATTAATCCCACATGGAGAAAAGTATGTCTACAGTATTTATTTGCAATGTATTGAAAACTCAAATTTTAAAAAGGATATTTGAATTTCTAACTTTTATATGTTGGTATACTTTTCTTCCTGCAGAGTCATTTAAGGGGATGAAGGACACATGGTTACATGACTCTGTTAAACTACGTCATAGTCTCCGTTTATATAAGTGCAAAACGTGTAAAGTATCAGTTCTTGTATAAATTTTTGACATTTTTTTTTCTTTAATTACCATCTTATATAAAAAAAATGAAAAGTTTAACATTCTTGTAAACATTAACAAATTATGAAAAAAGATTGATCCACTCCTCTGTTTCCCTAAACTGCGCATCCAACAAGTCGGTGACGTCATACACGATCCGTTAGTACAGCAAGATCATATTCAGTGAATACAGGGGACGGTATTATTATGTAAAAACAGCTCATAATCAGTATATCGAAGAAATATTTTTAGAAACGGGGAACAGAAAAATTATTTTTGCCTGGCTGATGACGGAAATCATATGTAGGTTTATCTTATTTCGCTTATTTAGCTTACGTGTGACGTCATAGTTGGTTTTTCCCATACTCGAGAAATGTAAACATGACAAGTTTTTGTCCTGCATATGTTGTCTTTAACGATGTCCTGTGCAATATTGAGGTCAGCTTCACCATTCGAAATTTTTACAGTTAATCAATGATTTGAAGGACTTGCATTTCAACGTATACTAAATTTAAAAATATTGAATGATAGAATTTTTTGTAAATTACGTTTTTCGTTGTTTAAGTTGTCTTAAAAAGTTCTTAATTTTCCCTATCCAGATGCAGTCTGATAGAAGAAACTTGCTTTTTCGAATTTTAAACCCTATTCGTACTCTGAAATATTTTAAAAGATACATGTTCACTTACATATTTTTTATATATGCTTTAAAAATCCCATTATGGACAGAGTAATAAGCCCGGAAACATGGAGAATTAAAACTCCACTTAGATACTGTAGGGCATAGTATTTATCAATCAGTATCTCTAAAATTAGGTAAGAAACCTAATGATATAACTGCTTTAATATATGTGGGACATACTTAATTAGAAATATACAAAATATAAAAAAAATTGAATGACAAGTATTTTTTCAGCTAAAGGTCCTTCTTCCCCTTAATTAACACAAGGCTTTATAATTCACAATGATTTAGGTTGAAACATCAGACCATGCACGTTTGAGAATCCAAGTGGCTTTCAACAATCATTTTGAGGTAAAAATGAAGTATATATACATGTATCTAGGCTAAAGAAAGCAATTCAATAAGAATTTTTTTTGACGAAAAAAAAAACTTTCAAAAGAAAAATTTCAAATATATGATTTGGCTATTTTCAGTATGACCTTGATGGTCCAGAAGAGGAGAAATGCAAATTGTTTGCTGTGCCAGATTTCATTGGGTTTGCTTCCAAACAAATGGGTAAGAACAAGTCGTTTGATGTAAATATAGTGGAGACCTATTTATTACACAAATATTGGTAGGATCTGAGACCGAAATGAATGAAATGTGTACTATTATAGACTGTTCCCCCCCCCCCCCCCCCCAAGGTGGCCCAAAAATGTCATCTGATTCCTGGTCTATTGGAGACATTTAATGTGACTGTATATGTACATGTATTTAGAATTTCAGTGGAAGTTATTGAAGAAGTTTTACTTAATTTACCAAAAGCAGCAACTTGAATTGCATGTCCTAATATTACAATATATATGTATAATTGTCTGACAGAGATGAAATATAACAGTAACTGTTGCGGCTTATAATTTTAGCCAGTCTTAAAAAAAGGCAGTAGCCTGCAATTGAACTTCTAGATTGTTACCAATAAACCTTTAAATTGAATTATATAATTAGATTTCATTTATTTAATCTCTTTACAGGCGCTCGTATTAGAGCTGCAGTGGCTCAGGTCACATTTGATGATTTTCATCGACATTCCAATCAAGTGCTCACCACTGCAGTATTTGGTCTTAATGCCAAAGGTCAGATGAATAACGAAGTCAGATTTCCAGAAAATAACCTGGTAAGTACAAGTATCAAATTTAAGAAAAAATTTCTAACAAATTTTACACTGGTGTCTTATTATTTGCCTTTTGTTTATATTTATGCAACTTCTCAATAAAATGTTATTTTTCTAAACCTGTTTTATCAATTACATTGATTGCTCCCTCAAAATTTTTACTTTCTTCAGTAAAACAGAAAAATATGCATTATACTGCAAGACACATGTAAAATGATTTGCATGTGTATATCAACCATGATATTTCTAATTACTTTTACAAAGGGTAGATAATATAATATCCAGGGATTGGAATACACTGTATTCGATTAAGATTGGAATATACTGTATGCTTGTATCCTTTATTAGGTTCTGAGTAGTATGGACATCCAGAGCATAGAACCAGTGGACGTGAAGATGAGAGACAGTCTCAGTAAATCTGTACAACTCGCCATAGAGATCTCCACAAAGTATGTCCTTGACACATTAATACAGAATCTTTATGGAGTGATATTTCTGAAAGAAAAGCATTTAATGATCAGATTTAAGGAGGAGAAGGACCTTGAGCTGAAAAAATACTTGTCATTCAATTTTTTTCATATTTTGTATATTTCTAATTAAGTATGTCCCGAATATCTTAAAGCAGTTATATCATTAGATTTCTTACCTTATTTTGGAGATACTGATTGACAAATACTATGCCCTACAGTATCTAAGTGGAGTTTTAATTTTCCATGTTTCCGGGCGCATTACTCTGTCCATAATGGGATTTTTTAAGCATACATAAAAAATATCAAAGTGGACATGTATATTTTAAAATATTTCAGAGTATAACTAGGATTTAAAATTCGAAAAAGCAAGTTTTGTCTATCACACTGCATCTGGATAGGGAAAAGTGCGCACTTTTTAAGACAACTTAAACAATAAAAAACGTAATTTACAAAAAATTCTATCATTCAATATTTTTAAATTTACGTTGAAATGCAAATCCTTCAAATTATTGATTAACTGTAAAAGTTTCGAATGATGAAGCTGACCTCATTATTTTACAGGACATCGTTAAAGAGGACATAAGCGTGACAAAAACGTGTCATGTTACATTTCTCGAGTACGGGAAAAACCAATTATGACGTCACACGTTAGCTAAATAAGCGAAATAAGATATACCTACATAAGATTTCCGTCATCAGCCATGCAAAAATCATTTTTGTGTTCCCCGTTTTTCAAAATATTTCATTATATACTGATTATGACCTGTTTTTACATAATAATACCGCCCCTTTGTTCACCGAGTATGATCTTGCTGTACTAACAGATCGTGTATGACGTCAACGACTTGTTGGACGCGCAGTTTAGGGAAACAGAGGAGTGGATCAATCTTTTTCGTAATTTGTTAATGTTTACAAAATGTTAAAACTTTTTTATTTTTTTATATAAGATGGTAATTAAAGTTAAGAAATTGTCAAAAAATTATACAAGAACTGATGCTTTACACGTTTTGCACTTATATAAACGGAGACTATGACGTAGTTAAACAGAATCATGTGACCATGTGTCCTTCATCCCCTTAATGCCCACTTTTCATTGATTTTACACTATGTACATGTGTAAAAATCTTATTTTCATATTTCCTCATGGAAATGAAAATTATACTGTGAAGTGATGAATATGTTATAGTGCAGCATAATTATTCATTGGAATTCTGCATTCGTTTTATATGAATTTATTAATAAACACATTTTAAGGGAGATAACTCTTACTAAGTACATATACAAAATAGTACATTAAATTCAAAGAGAGTTTAAAGTTTACTTTCAAAGATGAAAATCATGAACTTTTAGCTCCATTGAGGCAGCAGCATCACACGAGGCAGCTAGAAATGAACAGATAGCTCGGGGTGAATTAGAGCGACAAAAACTGTACAACGAAAAAGAAGCAGAGAAGGAAAGGACCAAACTGCTGGAGCTCCAGGCAATCACTGCTGCTGTCGAGTCCACGGGGCAGGCCAAGGCAGAGGCTCAGGCTCAGGCCGAGAGGATCATCATCGAGTGTGAGAGCGAGATCGAAGGTGAGCATCATTTAAAATTGACTTGGGAGTTGGAAAATCTTAATCTCAGATGGAAAAGGTCAACTTTGAGTGAGAGAGAGAGAGAGATTGTTACACCCCAGGTCCATGCACAGGCTGAGGGAAGAGTTGCAAAAGTCACCTTTTAGTTTGACCTTGGATCAAGGTCATAAAACACCTTTAGGTTATCAACAACAATTAACACATCTGAATTTGAATTTTTATCAATTTTACACATGTTGAAAAAGGAACTGAAAAAAGTGTTGCTAAGAAAACTTACAAAATGAATGGTACAAATCCGAATGTCAGAGTAGCAAATCACATTTGTGTTCCATACATTTGCAATTTATATTTTTTCTTTTTCAAGCTGCCAGATTGAGGGCAGAGGCAGCAGAAATTGAACACAATGCACAGCTAGCTGCTCAGGAATCTGTAAGTTAAGAACTTGACTTTTTAGGTCACCTGAGTCACTCAGGTGACCTATTGCTATCCGTTTTCGTCCGTCGGCGTGCGTCGTGCGTTGTGCGTTAACATTTGAACATTTTCAGCTTCTTCTCTGAAACCGCTCAACCAATTTCAACCAAATTTGGCATATAACATCTATGGGTGAAGGGGGACAAAATTTGTGAATTTCATGGTCCCTGCCCCCCTGGGGCCTGAGGCGTGGGGCAAAAACCACTAAAATTAATGCAATCTTTAAAAATCTTCTTCTTTACTCCTGGACATCAAGCAGTCAAACTGTTAGCATGATTGTAATAAGCATTGAGCCCTCTACCAAAATTGTGAAATTCATGGCCCCAGGGTCAGGGGTTCTTGTGAAAGGGGGGGGGGGGGTGGCTCTACTGATTATATAGTGAAAATTCATAATTTCTTTCAAAATATTTTTTCTACTCCTGGTTATAAAGCAAAGAAACAAGTGTATAGTTATGATGAACAAGGATGCTTTTACAAAATTTTTAAACTTGTGGTCCCAGGGGTTCTGCTGTTTTTCTGAGGGGGTGGGAGGGGGGGGGGGCTCTATTGATAATATAGTGAAAATGTGTGAATTCTTTGAAAATCTTCAACTAATTGCATAGTTATGATGATGAGGGTACCTCTTCTAAATTTGTAAATTTCATGACCCTCGGTCATGGTTCTGGTGTTAGGGTAGGGCTGTGTTAAATAGTAAAAGTGCATTATTTCTTTGAAAATCTTCTCTGCTCCTGGGCATATTGGAGGCAAACAGAGTAAAAGTTTTAATAAGCAAGGGTATTTTTACCAGAATTTTAAACATCTGGACCATTTGGTCAAGTGTTCTGGTCCTGGCCAGGGCTCTATTAATTTGTATTCTACTGAGTGAAGTTATTCCCCTTTGCCATTCTCCTTTGATAATTAATCAGTGTAGATAATGTATTTGAAAGGTTAATAGAATAAGAGAATTATGCAAGAACATTGATTGTATAATACAAAAAGTACTTTCCTAGTTTTAATGATCAGGTAGACCTGGAAGTAATAGATGAATAAAAGTGAAACAAAAATAACTTATCTTTTTTAATGTTCTTCAAAGGCCAAGTGAGGCCAGTTTGAGATATTTTGTAAAAAGTCTGTATGGTAATAGCGATAAATGGGGGACAGATAGATAAAGCTTACTATTTTCCTTGCTTTTGGGAAAAAAAAAAGCTTTATTAGGTCACCTGAGTCACTCAGGTGACCTATTGCTATCCGTTCTCGTCCGTCGGCGTGCGTCGTGTGTTAACATTTGAACATTTTTAGCTTCTTCTCTGAAACCGCTTAACCAATTTCAAGCAAATTTGGCATATAGCATCTATGGGTGAAAGGGAACAAAAATTGTGAATTTCATGGTCCCTGCCCCCCTGGGGCCTGAGGGGTGGGGCTAAAACCACCAAAAATAATGCAATCTTTAAAAATCTTCTTCTTTACTCCAGGACATCAAGCAGTCAAACTGTTGGCTTCATTGTAATAAGCAGTGAGCCCTCTACCAAAATTGTGAAATTCATGGCCCCAGGGTCAGGGGTTCTGGCCCCAGGGTGGGGCTATATAGATCATATAGTGAAAGTGCATTATTTCTTTGAAAATCTTCTTCTCTGCTCCTGGGTATTAAATAAAGTAACTAAGTACATAGTTATGAATAGCAAGAGTGCCTCTTCCAAAATTGTGAAATTCATGGCCCCAGGGTCAGGGGTTCTGGTGTTAGGGTGGGGCTCTATTGATTATATAGTGAAAATGCATTAATTCTTTGAAAATCTTCTTCTCTGCTCCTGGGTATTAAATAAAGTAACTAAGTACATAGTTATGATGAGCAAGAGTGCCTCTTCCGAAATTGTGAAATTCATGGCCCCAGGGTCAGGGGTTCTGGCCCCAGGGTGGGACTATATAGATCATATAGTGAAAGTGCATTAATTCTTTGAAAATCTTCTTCTCTGCTCCTGGGTATTAAATAAAGTAACTAAGTACATAGTTATGAAGAGCAAGAGTGCCTCTTCCAAAATTGTGAAATTCATGGCCCCAGGGTCAGGGGTTCTGGTGTTAGGGCGGGGCTCTATTGATTATATAATGAAAATGCATTAATTCTTTGAAAATCTTCTTCTCTGCTCCTGGGTATTAAATAAAGTAACTAAGTACATAGTTATGATGAGCAAGAGTGCTTCTTCAAAAATTGTGAAATTCATGGCCCCAGGGTCAGGGGTTCTGGTGTAAGGGTGGGGCTCTGTTGATCATATAGTGAAATTGCATTAATTCTTTGAAAATCTTCTTCTCTGCTCCTGGGTATTAAATAAAGTAACTAAGTACATAGTTATGAATAGCAAGAGTGCCTCTTCCAAAAGTGTGAAATTCATGGCCCCAGGGTCAGGGGTTCTGGTGTAAGGGCTGGGCTCTATTGATTATATAATGAAAATGCATTAATTCTTTGAAAATCTTCTTCTCTGCTCCTGGGTATTAAATAAAGTAACTAAGTACATAGTTATGAAGAGCAAGAGTGCCTCTTCCAAAATTTGAAATTCATGGCCCCAGGGTCAGGGGTTCTGGTGTAAGGGTGGGGCTCTATTGATTATGTAGTGAAAATGCATTAATTCTTTGAAAATCATCTTCTCTGCTCCTTGGTATTGAATAAAGTAACTAGGTGCATAGTTATGATGAGCAAGAGTGCTTCTTCAAAAATTGTGAAATTCATGGCCCCTGGGTCAGGGGTTCTAGTGTTAGGGTGGGGCTCTATTGATTATCTAGTGAAAATGCATTAATTCTTTGAAAATCTTCTTCTCTGCTCCTGGGTATTAAATAAAGTAACTAAGTACATAGTTATGAGGAGCAAAAGTGCCTTTTGGAAAATTGTGAATTTCATGGCCCCAGGGTCAGCGGTTCTGGTGTTAGGGCGGGGCTCTATTAATTATATAGTGAAAATGCATTAATTCTTTGAAAATCTTCTTCTCTGCTCCTGGGTATTAAATAAAGTAACTAAGTACATAGTTATGATGAGCAGGAGTATCTCTTCTAAAATTGTGAATTTCATGGCCCCATGGTCAGGGGTTCTGGTGTTAGGGCGGGGCTCTATCGACTATATAGTGAAAATGCATTAATTCTTTGAAAATCTTCTTCTCTGCTCCTGGGCATTAAGGTGATAAACTAAGTACATAGTTATGAAGAGCAAGAGTGCCTCTTCCAAAATTTGAAATTCATGGCCCCAGGGTCAGGGGTTCTGGTGTAAGGGCGGGGCTCTATTGATTATATAGTGAAAATGCATTAATTCTTTGAAAATCTTCTTCTCTGCTCCTTGGTATTGAATAAAGTAACTAGGTACATAGTTATGATGAGCAAGAGTGCTTCTACAAAAATTGTGAAATTCATGGCCCCTGGGTCAGGGGTTCTAGTGTTAGGGTGGGGCTCTATTGATTATCTAGTGAAAATGCATTAATTCTTTGAAAATCTTCTTCTCTGCTCCTGGGTATTAAATAAAGTAACAAGGTACATAGTTATGAGGAGCAAAAGTGCCTTTTAGAAAATTGTGAATTTCATGGCCCCAGGGTCAGGGGTTCTGGTGTTAGGGCGGGGCTCTATTGATTATATAGTGAAAATGCATTAATTCTTTGAAAATCTTCTTCTCTGCTCCTGGGTATTAAATAAAGTAACTAAGTACATAGTTATGATGAGCAGGAGCATCTCTTCTAAAATTGTGAATTTCATGGCCCCATGGTCAGGGGTTCTGGTGTTAGGGCGGGGCTCTATCGACTATATAGTGAAAATGCATTAATTCTTTGAAAATCTTCTTCTCTGCTCCTGGGCATTAAGGTGATAAACTAAGTACATAGTTATGATGAGGAGGTAGGCCTCTTCCAGAATTATGAAAGCCATGGCCCCTGGGTGAGGGGTTCTGATGTTAGGGCGGGGCTCTATTGATTATATAGTGAAAATGCATTAAGTCTTTGAAAGTCTTCTTCTCTGCTCCAGGGTATTATTTAAACAAACTAAGTACATGGTTATGATGCATAAGGATGCCTTTTCAAAAATTGTGAATTTCATGGCCCCAGGGTCAGCGGTTCTGGTGTTAGGGCGGGGCTCTATTGATTATATAGTGAAAATGCATTGATTCTTTGAAAATCGTCTTCTCTGCTACTGGAGATTATTTAAACAAACTAAGTGCATGATTATGATGGGCAAGGATGCCTCTTCCAAAATTTTTAAATATATGGCTTCAGTTTTGGGGGTTCTTGAGGAAGGGGGGGGGGGGGGCTCTATTGATTATATAGTGAAAAAGCATTAATTCTATTAATTAATCATTAATTTATCCTGTCTGCTCCTTAGCGTTGAGCTGATAAATAAATTGCTTAGCTATGATGAAAATGTGAGCTTCGAACAGAATTTTTAAATCTTGTGGTCCTAGGGTCAGGGGTTCTGGCATAACTGGGGGGGGGGGGGGGGGGGGCTTTTGATAATATAGTGCAAAAGTGTTAATTCTTTGAAGTCCATAGGTATGATGATGAGGGTAACTCTTCCAAATTTGTAAATTTCTTGACCCTTGGTCTTGGGTTCTGGTGTTAGGGTAAGGCTTTGTTGAAGCATTGTACCTGTGAAATTCTTCTCTGCTTCTGGGCATATCGGAAGAAAACTGAGTAAAAGTTTAAATGATATAAGTAAGCGTATTTCTACCAGATTTTTGAACATCTGGACCATTTGTCTAAGCATTCTAGTCCTGGGCAGGGCTCTATTAATTTGTATTCTACTGAGAGAAGTTATTCCCCTTTTCCATTCACCTTTAATCACTGTAAATAATGTATTTGAAAGGTTAATAGAATAAGATAATTATGCAAGAATGTTTATCATATAATTCAAAAAGTATTTTCTTAGTTTTAATAATCAGGTTGACCTGTAAGTAATAGATAAATAAAAATGAGACAAAAATAACTTATCTTATTAAAAGTTCTTCAAAGACCATAAGAGAGGTCAATGCTAGAGCTCTTAATATGGGATTAAAAATAGTACTGAAGCACTAATAGTTTGTTAATAGTCTGCATGGTGATAGTGTTAAGTGGGGGACAGATTAGAACTTAATTTATGAGTTGATACTGAATACTAGACTAATTATTTTGTTGATCCTGATCTTCCTACTTCTCTTGCTTTAGGGCAACAAAGCTTCATCTATCAGTGTATTTAACTTCTAAATTGTTGTATTATACTCAGGTGACCGTTAAGGCCCTTGGGCCTCTTGTTTAATAACCCCTCCCTCTCAAGAAATTGGAAGGGAGGGGCCCGGGGGTTATAATTAAATAACTGTGTGTGTATGTCCACTTTTAATTTGCAAGGTTAAGCAAACTTGCAGATATATCTATCCATCAGTGGATACTCAATGAAATCCTTGCTTTGATTGTGGCCCCTGCAAGGGGTATTAGTCCCATTAGGACAACTCTAGTTTGAGTTATAAATATACATTCCAAAGTCGAGACTGTTTCTTATGGATCAAAAATGATTTAATTTAATTTCTTATGAGTAAATTGTTATTTATGTCAGCAACAAACTTTAATGAATGTGCAGTTGCACATACATGTATTTATGTTTTGTGTTATGACATTCAATTGAATACTCTTGGCCAGATGTTTCCACATCTTCACATGTATTCAAAGGTTTTCATCTTTCAATGAATACTTCACATCTTCTTTTAGGCAAGGAATCAGGAGTTACAATACACCAGGAACATGAATGAACTAGAGGTTCACAAAGAGAAGGAAATGGCTAATATTGAGGTTAGAACCATAAACTCTATGTATAACAGATACTGATCATTTGTATACAACTTCCTTATCATTTTCTGTCCCATTTTGTTAATGGATTGATGTACATGTATGCTAAAAAGTATAGGTTTATGAAATCTATACCTCAAGTCAACTCTGAGAGCCTTTTATTGTAACACACTACACTACATGTATGTGTGCTGTTTTCTTATTCTCAGGTGAAGAGATTTGGTGATATGATCTCATCAATAGGTGCAAATGTACTGAAGGCCATAGCAACAGCAGGCCCAGCCAATCAGGTAGGGACAGGTTTTACACTTTCCCACTTTATTCAAATATTTATGCAATCTTAATGCAATGTATATGATGATACTGACTTAATGTATTTGTACTAAATACATTTATTTTTATTTATTTTTTTTAACAGTTTAGAAAAAATATTTACAAATATTTACAAAAATATTTATTCCCTGAATCAGTATAAATATAAAAAAAAGAATAACCTAGACACGATTTTTTTTTTAAATACAGGTAAATCTGTTGAAAGCTCTTGGAATGGAGAGTGTTTTGATCACCGACGGTAACAGTCCCATCAATCTCTTCAACACAGCCAATGGAATTGTGGGTGAAAATAACTAGTATGTGATTCAACGGAGTGGATCTACATGTAACTCGGAGTCTAGGTTCTTATCAAGATGTTTAGTTTTGCTGTATGATTGAAGTGATAAATCATTACAAATACATTTTGTACATTGTATGCAAATCATTTGTGCAATTTTACAATTATCTCTTTGGAAGTGTGTTTGCTTGCTTACTTAATGTAACATGTACCACAATCAATGAGTAGACATTTTGTAGTGTAGTAGTTTTTTTCTTCCTTTTTTGAATTATTGCTGTACAATGACTTGAAATATTTTTAACAAAAGGGTAATATGAGTACATTTTTTCTTCATTTGAAAGTACATTTTGATATATGTGTATATGAAAAGTATATTTGCATGTCAGTTACCTTGCATCGATTTCCCATTTTATATGCAACATACTCTTAATACTAAGTTTACTTTTTTGATTATGCATATTTTCCAAATATACAATGTAAATGCACACTTTTTTGTCATTATGAACCTCGTACCTTCTACATTTCCAATAGAAAATGTGTTTCCATTTTTAAAACTGTGATACAATGTACTTTGTAAATGACCTTTATCTAACAAAATATTTTATATAAGAAAATATACGTTACATTTTGAATACATACATGTAAGCATGTATACCTTTGTCTTTGATGTTTGTTATTTTTCTGCTTATACAAATGCAGATGCATGTACCATATCTGACATGTCAATCTTCTAATTTGTCCACCTTAGATGTAACTGTGATACGTCATATACATATTCAGCCCGGTCCTGGATAGCTATACTACATATTCAGAATATTCTCAGAACTGGTTTCTATTATGGTTATAACATTTGTATATATTCCTTTACCGATTCCTTTTCTTTGTTGATTATAATTTATCAAATTTATTAAAGATCATAGAAGTTTTTGAGTGGCTTATTTTTCGATAAGGGTGAAGTAATTTTAAAGTTTTGGATAATGTAAATATTTGAGCATGGGCACCAAAGACACGGTTTTATCTTACTGTGATAACCAGTTTCCAAAATAGACCAAGATCTTGCATATGGAATGTATTTTTGCTTTGAAAAAGAGAAGAAAGAAAAACAAATTAACATCAAACAGTTTTACTGGAGCCAAATATCCCATTCTTGAAAACGGAACATACACATTTTAAAAATCATTTTTGCTGCCTTTGAATATTCCTGATCACTGACAATTTCACATGTACTGAGTTCTGGACCCAAGCTATTTCACTTGTTTTCTTCAAAGATCCTAGCTATTTCACTTGTTTTCTTCAAAGAGATGTTACATCAGCTTCACTTTTCAAACATCTCTGTCAATGCTTGGAAATGTCCTTTATCTATTTAAGAGTCATATAAACTTTTTTGATCAATAATGGATAAACATCTGTGAGATACCAAAGTAAGAAACTTCAGAGTTTTCAATACCATAGCTGCACTTTTCACTGCCTTTTTTTCCGAATTCTCTAAGGTTCATCTATACTCTGATAAGAGAGGTAACTCTAACTAGAATAAATCTCTTTTATTCCTTTTAGAAACTGTCAACTTAAAACGTCATTTCTGTCAAATTTTGACCTGCAAGGTATTCTGAAGTTTGTGAATTGTAACTAAAAATTCAATTTCTTTTACAAAATAAAAAAATTGCGAGTGACCAGAGGAAAAATGAACCTTAAGTTTATTGCTTCATTTAATTGATTCTGCTGAATATCAGTATGAATATTTTATGTATATATATTATTAAATGCATAAATTAGTCCAATCTTTGGGAAAAAATTACAGATAATGAAGATGAACATGAAATAATAAACTTTATTTCAAAGATAATTTTTCCCCCACAATACATGTACAAAAATCAGGTCCATATTGAGCCAACCCTTCCTTTATCAGATTTACAAAAGTTTTGTAAAATTGAGTTTTGACAGACATACTAGGAAATTGGCCCAACTTGAACGACTCTGGCTAGCAAATGTTATTTCACTCAGTGATTGCGCATATCATTGTTTCTTCCACATCCTCTTGCCCTTTGGCCCAATGCTGCACTTGGGAGTTCTTTAATAACCGTCAAGTGTGAGCTGCATAATAGCATGTCTTGATGATTTCATTTCCTTCAAGTCAGATCAGCCCCTTTGGTAAATTCCTACATATAAATCATTTTTATAAGAATATACAGTGCATAATATTACAACTGAAAAAATCATTCATTTTCAAGCCATTTGTTTGATAACTTTCTTTAAGGTATGATGAAAAAGAACAATATAATAAACCATTTAAGATGTCCTCTTGTGAATACAATTATTTTTTCTTAATTTTATTGTTCTACAACTTGTTCTACCTGTTTAATAACATTCTCCAGGAGAACAAGGCTCTGTATCGCCACCTTCTTTGATTCAGCATTGACATCTTTCTCAACAACATCTACAAGAAAATACCGTTAAATCTCTTTAAAATATCAGATGTACACAAATATAAATAAACTCTATTCATTCAATGCAAAAATAAAAAAAAAAAAAAAAAAAAAAACAACTTTCAAATTGGTAAAGAAAATGTTCCCTGCTTTCTTAACATTTATATACATGTACATGCAACTGTTTGAAAATGTATTTCAGTACGATTTTCATGTAAAATCTTAAAACATTTCTCTTTCATTTTTCAGTGTTTTGTATACTTTACCCTCAAGCCAATGTTTGGTCTCCATTATTTCACTCTGTAGGTCTGTCAGTAAAATATGTCCTGGTACAGACAAAATCACCATGGAAACGGCAAACAAAACAGCATGTCTCACACTCCTGAAATTTTCAAAGAAATTGCTGCATTTAGAAAATGCTCTCCAGTATCAGTGATCTGTGTCTCCATGATAAATCTCTTGAGAGGGGGTACACATAAAACAAAAATATGATATCTGCATGTAGACACTGCACTTACACTGTACTAGCTACATCAAAAATCTGTGAAATAGACTGAGCATCAGGGTCTTGGTTGTTTCCATCAAACCAAAATTTATGTACAAAGTTTGCATAGTGGCAAAAGAGTTCCATTTTGTGAATATTTACCCATTGTTACAGTATATAATGACACATTCAGGAAATACAATAATGCACATGTTGTACAATAATACATGTAAATCTGTGTCAATTTCAGAAGGCCCATATTTGGTCCCCCTTTACCACAGCAAGTACATGTATAGAAAAGTTCTGGAAAATTGCATTTTGCTGATGCCATGTAAACTCTATCGTATTTCCTTTCAATGGCCTTTTATAGATTACAATATACTCACACATCACTATGGAATCTGATGACCCACAAAAATTCGAGCAACCTGTCAGCCATTTGTTTAACTGCCTACAAAAGTGGGAAAAAAAATTGAAATAGTGTTTAGTGAATTTATACAAAAAAGTTCAGTATTTAAAAGTGTTTGTCATGTATGGCTTCACCAACATGCGAAAAATATCTGACAATGGAGCCAGGCAAATTACTGGAAGAAGTAAAAAAAACATCAAACTTGATACACAATGTTGTTGACTCACTGGTGTGTTTATGGCAGCATAGATGATGACTCCTAGTGTATGCACAAGTCTGGCTAACACAAGGCTGTCCTCTCCCATCAAATCAAATGTGTTTTCTTTCCTATAAATTAAAGCAACAAATAAAAGAGATTTCTTTTAAAAGACTGAAATCTATAAACAAGCTGATGCTTGACAGTGCTCTATTTTGTTATCATTCTTTTTAAAGTTCATACAGAATTTTTAATGAAAAAGTTGAATGTAAGAACAGTGATCAACCTCGAAAAACCTACAAACAATACAAATCTGTGAACAGGGCATGAAATGTGGACTCTTGGAAATTCCAGAGGGGGGATCAGGTGCCTAGGAGTACCAAGCATCCCCTGTTGACTCGTCGTACCTGACATGAACCCTATCTATTGATCCGGTAGAAGGAATATTCCGTAGTCAAATTTAGTATGAACACAAAGGCTAAACAATTAGTATAAAATATGTCAGTCAATATGACACAATGATAAATGAATAATGGAATATAACTGCATAGGTAAAGACATATAAAACCAAATGTCATTAGTGTCATACCTTAAATCTCAATATACATGGGCCTAAATAAGGCTTCACCAATTACTCTAGTCACTAAATACTATGACGAATTCTTTTCACCTCAATTGTTGACAATTTAAATATATGTACACTAGCTGCAGAAAACTCTCTCAGTCTGATAACAAAAGCAACAAAACTCTACCTGTCATAGTTGGCCATGAGGGGGTAAAAGAAGCAACCTGCCACTGGAGCAAACTTATTTTTAGTTGCCACCACCTCTTTTCTGGATCCTCTCCCAAATCTTCTGGTCTTACTCTCTATCCTTTGTTTGACAATCTCCCTCCAGCCCTCTGAAGAATTCTCTGAATCCAGCGCTGTTATTTTATTGGACGGTTTTCCCTTTTCCATTGGTTGCGATTCTGATGGTTGAGAAAGCTCTTGAGCAGCTGCTCCTAACACCTACATGTATTAATGATAGATGTTTTGGGTTGCCAAAGACTAAACAGTAATACATCTGCAGAATTCCAAACAGGTACTATTATTTATTACATTTTCAACAGTGAAATACTGTAATTTATTTACTGAATAAAAGTGATATTCTGACACAGTGTGAAAGGATATCAAAATGGTATTCTCACAGTGTGAGAATATCAGAAGTGCGGCAAAACTTACGATTTTCCTTCCCTTCACGAAGAGTGTTTTTAAAAAACTCCCTGGCCTATTATAAGATAGAGTTAATGAGCCATCCTGACAGAGCCTAATAGTTATACTGCTAAAGTTTGTCCAAATATGTCATTAAAAATCCATGTTTACAATGTTTTTCAATCTTGCAAATGCTTAGCTATGACGTCTCAACCGCTAAACTATGAAGTCACAGCCTATGACACTGTGTTATGAAAAGACAGAGGCAAAGGGAAAATCTAAGAAAATGTAATATACAGAAAATTCAATGTTTTGTAGATGAATATGGAACTTATTTCACTCGTGAAATAGGATTTTTTCATATTTTCAGTTCGCTTAGCACTCGTAAAAATATCAAAATATCCTGTCCCACTCGTGAAATAAATTCCATATTCATCAACAAAACATTGAATATCCTCTATGTACAATTGTGAGTAAAAACTTTCAAATTTCATAAAGTAATAATTATATGATAAGCAGGGAAAATGTACACGTACAGAGTACATTACATAACTTTTTTTAAAATTTGATTCTCACAATAAAATATCAAAATTTTCTAATTATAATGCACCCTCTTGTTTGTTATGAAAAATTCTGAATATTCCAAATTACAAAATAAGGGCATTACTTATAATAAATTCTTTGGATAAATTGGACAGTAAATACTTCATCAGTTTACATGCACTGACCTCTAAAATATCCATCCTCTGTCTTAGATTGTAATTTCTTTCGTAAAACTGTGTGGTCAGGTATTTGGAAACCTGAAATAGTTAAATACAAATACTCCAAATTTATACAAAACAAAACACAAAACAGAAAACTGAGCAGCGAGTGAATGCTGAAAAGTTTAAAAGTGAATATAGAATGTTTCAGGGACTGTTTACAACCCTCCCCACTTTTTTTCACACAGAATTTATTTTCAGAATGAACTATAAGACTTACATAGCATCATTACATTGCTTCACTTCTATCATAGAGATATCCTTTAACAAACTCTGGTATGTGAATTGTATGTAATATTAGTTTTCTCCACAGAAATAATTACCTGCTCTGGTGCATAAACAGCTAGGGCCACTAATGATCTGAATCTCAGAGGAACAAAGTTATCTGTGGAGTACCTGTCTGACAGGTGAAGAAGAATCTTGGTGAACTCTTCTGCTATCTTAAAGAGAGGAAAAAAAATCCAAAATTTATCAAAGATGTACAGCCTAAGTAGGATCAGTATTGATGCTAAAACTGATGTTTTTCATTTTCACCACCATTTTTTTCTTACAAGTCTTAGAATTAAAAAGTACTGTTCAATGCTCCATTTAAAAAATGAATGAAGTATGTTGACTAATTCAGATTAAAGACTAATTACAAATGACCTACTTCCAAGAGCCCATCTGGATTCCTCCTGATCAAAGCTTCTGTGGCACCCAGACACACTTCTAATTTTTCTGGATCATCAACACTGATTAATCCTACAAAGAAAACAAAATTTAAAATTTCACAGAACTTGACATGATTCAAATTTCAAAAAGCATTCTCTCTGCAAATATTGTTTAAAATTACATTATGAGTTGAAATGGGGGGGGGGGGGGGGTTGCTACAAAAATACCTTCCATGCAGTCTCTAATGTACTTTGGCTGTTTGGTCTTTGTCAACTTTTTGTCATTGGACATATCATATGGCACAAGGTCATCATCACTGAAAAATTTAAAAATTTGTTTTGGATAAAACCTGTACATATAATAGAACATCTTGATATTTTAAAGTTTCTACTATACATGGGTTTTGTCATTGTTGCAAACTATGGTTTTGAGTCCACAAGCTCCCTCAAATGAAGATAGAAAGAATCCATGTGAATCAACTTTGGGTTACCGACAATGTTTTTTTTTAAGAGCATGCTATTTTACATTAGAATTTTATATTGAAAGAACACATAGATATTACATGTTTAATGATGCATAATAATAAATCTTGTCATACAAAATACAATCTTCAAAAGATTATCTGTGTAAAATAAGGACAAACCTATCTAAATCTGGGTCAATCTGAAGATTAGCTTCCCTTTCTTCACTTCCACTCTCTGTCAAGATGTCTTTTTGACTTGATACTGGGGTTATATTTACATTACTCATCCCACTGTAATGATATGCAAAAACCACACATATAATTACAGGTATGAAATAACATTACATGCTGCAATAATATTCAAGAACTGCACAGTCATACATGATGCAAGTATGAAATGAAATCATATGTATTTATTGCACCCAATGTCCTGATATAAAGTCACTTTTTTCAAACGAAAAAAAAATATATAACTACATAAAAGAGTAAAAAATTTTACTTTTTATTACATGTTCAAAGCTTAAATGCTAGAATTTATCCATTGCATAAAACTGGTATTTTTCACAGGCATGTTATTTTCCCACTATAAAAATAGCAAGGTCTTTTTTCACAGTATGAAAATTACAACAGCAACCACTTAACCCTTTAAAGTTAGTAAAAAACTAAAGGAAAATGGAAAAAAAATGTAATTCTATATAAACTCTTGAAAAAATGTATTATAAAAAACTATCCCACCCATGAAATACAAGTAAAATCCATATGCAGATACTGGTACAAAACATTGAATATCCTCTATGTATCTTATTTCTAAAATACTATAAAATAGTCTTAGCATTAATTCAGACATTATTAATTTTTCTGTGAATGGAGATGCTCTCACTTTCTTAAACTCTGTAGCCCGGGATCTTGTGGTGGTGTTGTCAAGGAAACCAGGTATTCTACTTCCTCATCTCTGGGAAACTGTGAAATAAACAGCATACACATGTACACATAATTTCAACAGTAAAAATTTACCTGTTAATTCAAATTCTCTGGTGCACAAAGTTTATATGCTTAATTACCTTAAATCAACTTGACATGTAATTTGTGCACAAGAAATATCAGCCAATGAGTTTTACATCCTACCTTTAACTGCATGTTTCATTGTTTGGTTTTGTATTGATTTAAATTTGTTTTCTCAGTTGCAAAAGAAATATTTGAGAAGGATTTCAAAGTGACAAATGATAAATAATTATTAATCTATTCACCCTGGAGTTGTGTATCAATTTTGTTTATGACAGAAATTGATATCATGGCGAATTATAACATGATTATGGACAATTCACCGGGCCTGAAAAAAAATGATTATTTGTTCTTTATGAGCAGCTGTACTTCATACCTCAAACTTAAGCTGTTGACCTTTGGGATCTAGAACAGCTGATATGGTCTCAGCTAGAGCCATGCCAATTTTCCGGATTCTGTGATCAGAACTCGCTATGTGACATTGTATACCAGGCATCAGCAGCTGGATGAAATCTGTCAACAAACATGACAAAAACAAAAAAGTAACTTAATTTCTTATAAAAAGTTAACTAAAGATTATCAAATATCTAAGACAAATTATACATGTACATGTATATTTGTATCAATTTTCCCCTCATATTTAAATAATTTATACAAAGGTAGGGTTTTGAGTTGCAATGTTGATCAGCAAAGAGTTTCACAAATAGTGAAATACACACATCTGCCTCCTCTTCTTTGGATTAATTTATCATACAACTAAGATTTAGTATCATAACTCTTTAATTTTTTCTTGTTCATGTATGTTAAAAAGTCTTGAGAAACTTTTTATCAGTCAAACCTCGTTATTTCGACTGGACTGTGAAAAAACTTTCAAGATATCCGATGATTCAAGATATTGGAGGGTAAATTACTTAAAGAATAAGTGGTTAGGATTTCCAAATCACTTCGAAATATCCATGGTATTTGAGATATCAGTGTTCGAGATACCGAAGTTTAACTGTACCTTAAAAGACACACCTATTTCATTTGCCTGCTACTCTTACAATGTAGATAAACCATGGTTCTTCTCTAAGTGCTTACCCTCTCTAATTTCTGCCTTGTCTGATTCTTTAAGGAACCCCAGGCCTATAAATAGAGCCTTTGTGATGTAGAGATGCTGTTCTACAGAGGTATGTTTCAGGGCACTGCTGTCCCCCCAGACAGAGAGAAGCTCCCTCAACATCTAAAAAAAAACAAAGAGAGAAGCTCCCTCAACATCTAAAAAAAAAAACAAAGAGAGAAGCTCCCTCAACATCTAAAAACCAAAACATCTAACAAAGACAAAACAAACCGATAGAAGCTCCCTCAACATATCAACCTTCCAATAAAAATCCTAAAATCTTTCTTCTTTTTTTTTTTTTTTTTTACAGTAGATCACTTTATTTTCCAGACACTTTATTTTTGTGAGATAGCTATTTGGTATTTATAGGTGAGTCAAAATTGTCGCCAGCTGAGGTTATTATTGTATATAATATATTTAACAATACAATTGTATGTGAGAATGAAATTTTCGTGAGCAGACAGACAAACGTAATTATGTGAAAATAAAGTTCTCGTAAATGAAAAGTGATTTACACTATTGATTTCGCCTGCTCATCATTTGAAGTGTCATGAAGGAAAAAAAATACATGCACAGGAAGATGTGGGGTGTAAACTATACCTTTCTAAGCAGGGATTTTCTGGTGTGAGATGATCCAAGATATCCAATTATATTTTGAAGTAAAAGTATCTGAAATGTTAAATTTTCTAAATCATTACCTTTACAGCTGATTTGTGCAGAATATGCCAGTAACATAAATATGTTTATCAGAAGAAAAATGTGCATGGATTGTGAAATGATGGGATGAAATGAAATTTTACAAAGATAATATTCAGAATAGATATATATTTAACTTTTATTTCATGAAAGTACACATGTTAGCATATACAATTATACATGCAAATGTATGTAATTATGCAAAATCAATTACAATAATTATTCTCTTTGAAAAACTTCTGCAATATCATTACATATCAAGCCATTCAAAATACCTACATCCTGGGAGTGTCTGTGAAACACAAGTTTAGTACACAGTAGATATTTGATCTTCTGTTTTGTGGTAACGCTTCCTCCAATAAACTTCTCCACCAATCCATACCTAAGTGTGTGAAAAAGACCAATGAAGGAGGAATGAAATTCGCAATAATGTGCATGTATTGAAAACAGTTCATGCTCTAAATTAAACTCTTTCATGCTCTAAATTAAACTCTAATCCGGTTATCCCACCTACATCTTTTAAAATATATTAATTCTCCACTTGTTCGTATTATGTTGTATGTGTGTATACAAGGTTTTATTTGGGGGGGGGGGGGGCTGCAAATACTTTTTCTCTCGATACTATTTTGTTATACATTGCAGAAACTTTAACTTCTTTAAATTCATATGGCGGGTTTAATCAAATCATATTTCATAAGTAATATTCAGAAAAAAAATGATCTAGCTTGTTAAAGAAATTCTATCTCCCAAACACAATGGGTAACACCATGAATCTCTATTTTCCACAGGACTATCACTTGGACTATCTTACCAAGTGAGCTGTGAGAGTAAGGCAGTGAGGGTACACTCCAGACACCTGTCTGGTACTCCCGTAACAATCCTCTCTGTTATCCGACTCCAGATGTAATCCTCCCGTACACCCTGCTCCAGAGGGGGGACAAGGGAATTCCACAAAATGACTGGCAACAGGAAAACAGAACAACTTAAATATATGTTTATAAAATAATCCAAAAAATAGTCTGCTCTTTATACCAGCCACATGATTTTGATACTAATTATTATCAAATTTACAGAGTTGTAGTGATAAAGTACATGTACTGCTAGTACATGTATAACTATTTTTTCATCTTTTTTATCATTTTTTCAGAAATTGTAGAATTAGTGTACTATCTTTCATACATGGTACACATGCATTGACATATTTACAGCAGTTATGGAATCAAAAAGTTTACAATGGAAAGATATGAAATGAAACTTCTCATCTCTTAATCTTTAGCAATGTGAAAATCTTCATTAAAAACATCAATGCTATACTTTCTAAATCAAAAATTACTTTGTGATATTTTCCAAGATATTTTTTAAATTTTTTTACTTTACATTTCTAATAAACATATATGTACAATTGTACATACCTGCGTGACCTGAGATGCAGACCTTCCCAACCACACGGCTGATGAATTCTAAGTGTATGTCATTATTATTTCTAAGTTTCTGGTGCATGTTATGCAATACTTCCATGACCTCGCTACAGAGCAAAGGAATGTAATGCTGGGGATAAAACTTCTCACTAAAAATGAAAGTAATATCACATACAGATCAAAAATATAATATTTTGCATACCTAAACTTACTTCATACTATTAAAAGTAAACAATAAAATGTCTGTTTTTTTAAAGTGAGATTAGTGGTTGCAACCATTGCAGAAAATTTATGGGTTATGTATTTTTTCAGCAATAGTTGAAACTGTTCATTAATGCCACATTTACAAACAAAGCATTTTATTGTTTAAATAATAATTTCACTATCTTATACTCTTAAGTAAATGCTTGATTTCTTTTTCTCACCAATGACCATGTTGTTTGGTCCCAAGGATCATGCAGCAATTTTTAAACTTAAATCAGTATTTGCATGTTCACTTTGTTCACTATATGCAATTATTGACTATGTGAAAGTGCATACTACATTATAAAAGAAACAGACATTGCTTGAACTTTCAACCACATACATGTATATCATAGACACATATATTTTAGAAATTCAGACACTGGTCAGTTAGATACAAACCAAAATGAAATGTGGCACCATGATGCATGTAGCAGATACTGTAGATTCCTTAATATATGCGAGGAATAAATTATCGCGTAATTTCATGAGAAGCACCACTCGCGAAATAAAAATACTCTCTTTTATTTTTATGGTGCTTTAATGTATGTAAAATCTCTAGATAAATCACCCATTCGTGAATTATTGTTCTTGTGATTTGACTCCTTGGGCCATTTCGTGATATTAAGTACTCGCATAAAATAAGGAATCTACAGTAATATCTTCCATGTACACAGAACTAGAATAATATAAATCCATCACGAAGAAGGGTCACCTGTTCTGGAGCTGTAGTTTATTAGCAGTCTTGTCTGGAAGAGTAGCCATCAAACTTATGAGATCCTCCCAAAGAAAATCCAGACTCCTATCTGGAGCAGCCTTGCAGGCAGTTGTGATTATTTGGAATAATCCACTGTTATCCAGGAACTTTTCAAGTAGAGATACACACTTATTTAGTCTGAAACCCAGTCTGTAAAAAGACACAAAAAGAGATATAAACAAATACATTGCAGCTATTTCTATCAATAAATCATACATGTGTATCATGAACTAGAAATGGGAAGAAGGGGGAGAGGGATACTCTGAGCATATTTCCACATAAGGAATTTGTCAAATTCACATACATGGCAAACATTCTAATTGAATAAAAATGTATCAGGAGTTCATGATCCATCATGAATAAAGCTTAAAAAAATATGTCAAAGATAAATGCATCTAGAAACTTCTTTATGAAGCCTTACATGGTTCTCTCATTGACTGATTGATTGTTTGCAGTTTCCTTGCAAGATTATTTCAATTATATAAGACATCATCAGATACTAGTGAAGGGTTTTGAATTTAGAACTTTACTCGGCCATTGATTAGCATGCCAGTGCTTGCTGTGACACGTCACCTCGGTTTTCAAGGTCTCATTCAAAAGATCTGCAATTTTCATTTCAAAGTGCTGGGCACTTGGCAAAGGAACAGTTGCTACATATTTTACATCAACTTGGGTTTGTTGCCACTTGGGCTTGAACTCTCGACCTTCCAATCATCGAGTGAGAGCTCTACTTAATCAGCTACCATGACAGTCAAAGGTTTTCTCATTGAACTGACTTTGTAGGGTAGTTTATACTAATAGAAAGACTTACTCCAAATTATCCACACTCCTCATCAGGACAGTGAAAGCACCAACAGGATAACCATCCAAAAATACCTTATCAAAGATTTCTGACACATGTTTATGATCAGGACTTGTGAACCACTCCACTTGTAGTGTGTCGATGAAAATTTTAAGCACTGTTGGGTAAAATTCTGTCAGGAAAACTTCACGAATGAAGCGGACATCTTGAAATTTGGAGCTAACGGTTTGTTCGTGTCCAATAGTAATTTTGTAAAATTCCTCAATGACATTGGTCACCTCGTCTATGCCTTTCGGATTTTTCATGCTATTTTCCGTCTCTTTGACATACATCCTCATCTTATTCCTTAAAATATTCATATTTGTTTGCAATGGTGATTTTAATGTGCTCAACTAGGAAAAGAAGAATGCGGTTTTTTTTCTTTAAACAGTCAACCCTCTCAAAAAAGATTAGAGATCAAATGCACTTTTTTCCCAAATGGCTGATGATATAAAAAGCTAGAGCTTGCTCCATCACAATGAGAAATATTATAACACAGTAAACAGTAAACACTGAATAAAAATGCTGCCCGGCTCGAATTTGCTCGTGTATCAAGGTATTTTATGTACATCGAGCCCGAACTATCAAAGAAGAATGTTCCAAGAGCTAAGATTTAGAACTGATTTTTTTTTCAATTGTGGGCACAAACAGGCAAATCTCTTATTAGTGTAAAGGCCCGTAGTACAACCCCCCCCCCCCCCAAAAAAAAGGGGGGCTTTATCTACTGATGAGAATAGTCATGTCATATATTGCTTGGAAAATTACATTCAGTGAAAGGTTTGTTCCCCCTTTTATCTTTTTCACGCCCTCCCCAAAAACCTTCTACAGACGTAATAAGTTTTTCACAGTAATGACTAAATATCCTTCAAGATATACGTACGTGTAGGTTTCGACCCACTACCTCCTTCCATGAAAAATATTTTTCGATTTTGGCCTCGTGTATTATTTATTTATCTATTTATTTGCTTGTCAACTTTTCGACTCCCACCTCTCATCCTACCCCAACTTTGATACAGACAAGTTGCTATGCCTGCTTTCAACTTCAAGAAATAAATTGAATAATTGGTTCTTCTGGCAAAAAAAAAACAAAAACAAAAAACAAAAAAAACAAAACAAAACAAAACAAAACAAACTCGAACACAGAAATTTACTTGACAGAAAAGTAAAATGTTTATAACTATGTGATGATCTGACAAGAGTATGCCAAATGTTTTAAAAAATATATGTATAAAGATATTTTCAATCTAATCTAATTAAAATAAGATCTCTGATCCACCCCAACCATAGATCGCTACACTTTTGTCTGTAAATACAATCCATTTAATATTGCATTTTGTCTGACACGTTTTATACACTGTAAAAAATGTGTTTACAATTCAAACACTTTTCTAAACACTTTGTTGTCACCTCCTTTTTTATATGTTTAATTCCTAAACATGTAAAATTTCTAAACATGTCTTAGAGAGTGTTTAGAATTTAAACACTTGTGCGCTTAGAAATTAAACATATCTAAACACATAAACACAAGCGTTTAAATTCTAAACACATAACAGCAGAAGTGTTTAATGTCTAAACACATCATAAGTATAATTTGTACCTGCAGAAAAACAAAACACTCTCGTAAATTTAGGCACAAAAAGTATATGTTTTTTCAATGCGCATAATTGTCAAAATTTTCAAAATATGTAACCGATATTAATTATTTTCCATCAAGCCACTGAACGTTGGGATATGTATTTAATTATACAATACAATGGACACTGTGCGATGTATATGTACTTAATTTACACAAATAATATAGGAGATAGAACTGAATAGATTTGATTAGTCTCAACAATTCAATCAGAATGACACATCATTTATAACGTACACATAGTTAACAAACTTTTAATCTTCAAATTTATTTAGAAAAAAAAATATTAAGCTGACAATTTAATATCAAAACTTCATTGAATATTTCTAAAAGGCTTTATTCAAGAATTTTTAAATTAAAAATACAAATTGTATATTTATATATATATTTATTATAAACATTTATAATTTGAATCGGCTGCAGAGTTTTCCTCATGTCAATCACAAAAATATCAAATTTTATTAACTTTCAGCATGTCCCAAAGCACCACATATTATAATCTATATCCCATCAATAACTGCCAGAAAGTAACCCATTCCGAATGCACGAGGATAATTGTAAACACTGTCGAATTAACTCGGTAGTCTTCACAAAATGAAGTTTCAAAGTGTTGATTATGGAACAACAAAATTGCACTTGAAGATGAAACCAGGTACTCTGATACGTGTATTCGATCTGGACTACAGTACCTGTAGGAAAGAAAGCCAGATTGTAATAAAAGTACACTATCACTGATATTTTACATTACTTAGAAAAACAAAAATGTTCAATTTTTAGTGAAACTATACTGATATAAATATAGATGTTTTTAAGGACATTCAATATTACATGTATTTCCTCTCCTGCAAGTCTATGAACGAATTCAAGATATCCCAAGTCAACTTTATTTACGTTGCTCATCGTGGTTAATTAATGCAAAGGAAAAAAAACAAACCTTTAATGTATTGCAGTAATAAGATGCCCTTTCACGTATTTCACTATTTCGTCATGGTTATCCCTTGTCATAACTCTCATTGATACATCACCTTAGCTTGTTGTGTTTTCTTTGTTTAGATAGCCGCTCAAATTAACGTTCAAATATATGTGTCATTTCCGGGAAGATAACTCTGCACTTTACAGTAAAACGTGTTTAATTTCTAAACGCGTTTAGAATTAAAACATGTTAAGACATAAGTGTTTAGTTGTTAAACACAATGCTATACACGTTTAGATCTAAACATGTAATAGAAGTGTTTATTTCCTAAACACAATTTTTACAGTGTACCATTTGTAGGATGAGTAGTTTTTTTTTTATACTAAAATAAGTTGTACTACGGAGTACTCCATCTACCTAATTAATACACAGCCCCGGGGCTCACGGCGGGTGTGACCAGTGGACAGGGCATGCTTACTCCTCCTATCTCACCCGATCTCACATCCTGTATTTTCAGGGGTCCGTGTTTTTTGCCTTGTTAACAATTCGTTTTGTGGATTTATGAGAAATCTTATTCATTGATCGTTTTTTTTTTCTTCACGTTATAATCTGTCTTCATTATAAGTACACACCAGTGGATGTCAGAGATGCCATGGCAGAGATTTCTGGATTCATACACATATTTAAAAAAAAAATTTCATATGTAAAGAATAATTATTCTTATTTGTTGAAAACTTTTTAATATTTGTTATAGTTAAGAAAATAGAAGGCATAATATAAGATACAGCTAGTTTTGTATCCCCCCCCCTTCTCCTCTTAGGAATAGGAACCACAGAATGATGCTAAATGGACCAGCTAGATTATCAAAAACGGGGGGGGGGGAATAAAAGATCTAATATGGAGGATATCTTTATTTCATGTAGGGGTAAATTATTTACATCGTAATCCCATTGCATGATATTTTTAAAAGCCTTTTTAAATACACAAACGCAATTAGATTAAGCTGATCAGCTGATCTTGTATTTTATCAAAATCTAAATATATATGGGAAGGGAGAAAAACAAATGCATGTATTTTAAAAAATTCAAAAATCCAAATGACCCTCCTCATTGCAAATAGTGGTTGTTTACCTGTTGTGAACTCGCTTGACCTTTCATAACCTTACTCATATATACTGATGGAAACACTTTAATTTTTCGTACGCGTGTATCACATGATTTACTCTCTCATTTATTCCTTGAACTTGTTCGACGCTATTTGTCAGTATCAAAGCAGATTTGCCTTTTAAAGTAAAAATAATATCTACAGCTTTTTAACCTGCCCATCAAGAGGAATTGTTATAAATTATATTCAAAGGCGATATCCTATATCAATATACCGGTAAATATATTGGCCATAATTCACTCAAAAATAAAAAGAAAGTTATGGAAAATTAAGAGAGCACATCAATATCTATTGATTGGCCCTAACAAGATTTAAGATTAATTGATTGATTGTATGTATGTTGTTTATTTATTTTTTTTCAATCATATAGAGACGTCACCGTATTCTGGCGAAGGGCTTGAGATGAAGTACAGTGTATGGGGATAACAAACACTATTCAAGCTCCGGGTTTATTTAAACAATACAAATCGGGAGCAGTGCAAACACGGACCTCCAAAAACATCAGAGGCGGGATCAGGTGCCGTGGAGGAGTAAACATCCCCTGTCGACCGGCCACAACCGCTGTGTGCTCCTTGTCATGACCGGGTAAACGGAAAAATCCGTAGAAATTTCAGAGATTTAGGCTTTAAAAACTTGGCACTCAGAACCATTTAGCAGTGTGAGTATATTCGTGCCAACGCCCACCGTGACACGGGATGTCTGTGTTTGAGGTCTCATTCGAAAGACTAGTGCCAAACGCTTGGCAAAAACTAGATGTTTTCAATGAAAATTCAAGTCTCACATATCAGGGACTCTTTTTTTTGTCAAAATCAGTAGCGTGAAGAATTTTTGACAATTTCCAAATGTATACATATATATATGTTAAAAATCAAAGTAGACTTTTGAAGTTTGTATCAAAGTGAACAGGGGCTTCGCTCATCTTTCTGGATTGTTAAAATAAAATATGGCTAACATCCCCCATTTAATTAAACTTTTATATATGTTATCCAAAATCACAATTGAAATTGTGAAACAATTTATTCAGAAAAGAAAAAAAATATAACATTTCTTTAACCGAGTGGACTTCGTACCCACAAATTGTAGTCATCTTTCCCATCCCTTTAGATAGCTGATGCTAATTGAACAAGCATTCTGAGAGTATTGCATTAGCAATATTAGTCCCCTACCGGTAAGTTTAGGAAAAAAGTGCGGAAAACCAAGTGGGACAGACTGACAGACAGACAGAGCTCGAGCGACAGACGGACAGACAGACAGACAGACGGACGGACAGACTCAGTGGAAACCTATAGTCCCCTCCGGTTTCACCGGTAGGGGACTAAAAAATATATGTATTGTTTATTAGTCCCCTACCGGTGAAACCGGAGGGGACTATAGGTTTCCTCTGAGTCTGTCCGTCTGTCTGTCTGTCTGTCCGTCTGTCCCTCTGTCTGTCTGTCAGTCTGTCCCACTTGGTTTTCCGCACTTTTCTTCTAAACGCTTGCAGATATTGAGCTGATTTTTGGTATGTAAGTGTATCTTGATGAGTTACAGATCAAGTTTGCATTTCGTTCCGCTTCATTGATTTTTGACGGAATTACGGCCTTTTCAATTTCTAGGGGTTTTCCGCAATTTTCTTCTAAAGGCTTTCAGATATTGAGCTGATTTTTGGTATGTGGCTTTACCTTCATTAGTTATAGATCAAGTTTGCATTTCGTCCCGTTTCATTAATTTTTGACGGAATTATGGCATTTTCAATTCTTAACGGGAACGGAACCAGATTACACTTGCCGGTAGGGGACTAGTATTGCTAAAGCAATTAATACTCTCCGAATGCTTGTTAATACGTCATGCAATCATTTTTCCCGTTATGGAAAACATTAGTTTTTAAAGGTAGATTTTATTAAGATAGCAAAGAGAAACGGTTCTGTCTGTTCGCAAAAGAATCCAGATTTTTAGTCTTGGAAAACCATTCATCGATCGATAAAGATATATTTTCCATTTAATTTATCAATAATATCACCCACTGCAAAAATAGAAAGCCAGCAAGTGTCATCGCGTTCAAACATTAAATTATACCATAAAAGTAATACTTCGTAGATATGTGTCCTTTAATCAAAACAAAAACATTGTTATAAATAAAGATTTTAATAAAAATATCTAGAACATTCAAATTTTTTACATGCAGCCGCCCTTTCTCTCATTTACCTTGAAAATATGTTAAACCCAGAGTGTCATGATTTCCTTTGCTTATACCAAATTATCCATAATAGGGAAGTCCAGGTAGAAAATAACTAAGTTTTGCATATTCATACTGGCATGTAAACGATATGTCGCTCCATTATTGTTTTTACAACATATATATTGTGTAATTGTTGTTTGTTTTGTAAAAACCGAAAAAAAAAACCAAAAAGACTTTGTTGCAACATGAACAATGTCAGCTGGAACCGTGACATAATATTGATGTGGAATTTTTAATTTTTTTTTCTCACTTCCAGTTTACCTTAAGACAAACTTTGCCTTTTGATTTTTATAATACATGTATTATACCTCAATATACAACCAAACCTCATTCCGACAAAGTGATTTCTCCGCATTATAGACCATTCAGCTGTCTGACAAACTGCTCGATTTCATTGATTTCATTTAAATAAAAAAAAAAAAAACTAAATCAATTCACAATGATGCAATTGCATTACATTCATATAGCTTTCTGATTGTTATTTCATAATTTATATTTTCTCAGGTTTTTTTGGAACATTAATTGGCGTAAGAGTGATTTTTCAGTATCTATATCCACAGGAAATTTTCAGGAAATAACTTGTTTCGTTCTCAAAAAGACATTCAAAGAAATCAGTCATTCAATGTTCAATGTCATTCAAAACACAACATATGGAATAAAAGCTTTAATTTTTAAATAATTAGAGAGAGAGAGAGAGAGAGATTATAAATTTGTCATTGTTGTTAAACATTGACATAATTCCGAGCACAACATTGCTCTACAAGCACACCTGATGATTTGCAAATATCTTTTATGTGTCAATGTTTTTCTTTTCGGAGAAACAAGGATCATATTAACAGGCATAATCGGTGATGACACTAGAGTCAGTTCTCCGTAAATATTTCTCAAGAGATTTTTTATCAGAAATCTATAGCACTAAATGATTTAAAAAACACTACTTGATTAGGGGCACATGTTTGTACTTATTAATAATATTCAATCAAGAGGAAGCATGCCTTTAAATCTAGCTTAGACATATTTGAATCTTGCCCTGAAGCCCCTTGCTACGGAATTGGAGTTTGTCCTAAATAGGACCAACATTTCTCGACTTCTGGATGTGAATACTCGTTTGGGTCTTGAGTTGCAACAGAACCTGTAAATGAATATTATGTTTCTTAACATTGCATTATATATCCAATTAAAGAATAAAACATCAATAAACAAGAGGCCCTTGGGCCATATCGCTCACCTGAGCTCTTTGGCTAGGAAAATCAGTTCAGTATTGGAGAAGTTTTGATATAAAAGCATCCAGGAGGGGGAGGGGGGCATGAGTTGAAAAAAACTTAAATCTACACTTACTGAGAATGCTTTCATGTTTCTTTGACTAATCATGCCTTTTACGTAGATTTTTCAAGACCTTTTTCTATATGTTTCATCTTTTTTGTGGCCTTGCCCTACCCCCGGGGACTTGATTTGAACACTCTCGAATTTACAATATCTGAGGATGCTTCCATATTAATATGACTAAACATGGGTATGCCGTTCTTTGAAACCCACAACCGGCAAGTGATAGCGTCTCAGTCTGAGTGAAAAGTTCTTGAAGGGATGTGAAATTAACAAACAAACTAAATCTTGATTTATAATAAGAAAAGTACTCGGAAGGTTATTTACACAAATATTTTGGTATTTCAAATAAACTTACCTTGGTCCCGTTGTAGAGAAACTGTTGTAACGAACCTCTACATAGTCCAAACATCTTCTGTCGCATGTAATCCTAAAGGTCTCAATAAATTCCAATCGGACTCGTTTTCCTGGAGGTGCCTGAAGTATAATCAATTTGAATGCATCAGACGTCACCATTCCGCAAAAATTATTTTATTCTTTCATTACGCGTTTCTTCATGATTTTGATGAGAAAACATGGATAAAATGTACAGAAAATAACATCTATATATCCTTAAAATGAAGAAGTCGGCGAACCGAGATTTTGCTGTAGAGGTACATGTATATTTTTCTCCTGTCTATCGAATTTATCTTGCGAAGTCTGGAAACACAATTGGATTAAAAGTGTAATAGGGAAAAGATGATATTTCACCCCAGAGTGGGACCGGTTGAAAAGAATGATGGGTCAAGTAGAGTTTTTTTTTTGCCCTTAGTTAGGGTGTGACAAGCCTTCTTCGAAACAGTAATATGGATAAGACATTCAAATTTTTCATCTATAAAACTGTATGAACCAAAAATGAATTATCCATCATACAATGTGAATACATGCACGTTACTATGGAACTTATTTATTATTATTTGTTGAAGATCAATGCCATTGTATTTTATATTGAAGTGAAAGAAATTCCCATAGTCATAAATGAATAGTAATTTATAAACCTTAAATAACTTTTGAATCAAAGGTTCTCCATTTTTCTTTTCAAAAATTTAGACCTGGCCATGAGAGTGCAAATAACTTCTTCCTTCTTCAACATTTACAAATTGTATGAGAATTAATATATTATTTTAAAAGCAAATATATAGGCTGCTACAAGAAAAAGGTTAACAAATCCATATTTCATTGTAAATTATAAAATTAGGAGAACACACCAATATAGACTGGCTGACCTTAACATGATGATAGACGCTTTCCGTGAAATTAAAATCTTCTTTCAATATATCATTTTGGATTTAAAAAATATATGCTATTACAAGAAAAACAATACCCAAATTGCGATATTTTATTGCAAATTTAAAAAAAAAGAGACATCGTCAATGAAGAGAACACACCATTAATGACCTATAACGTGATGATGAATGCTTTCTACAAAACTTCAAGTCTTCTATGAGTATCAGAAAATCTCTTTTTTTCAAAATCAGCAGTATTAAGTATTCTTCATTATCTCCAAATATAAATACATACGATTATTTAAATCTGATTTTCAATTTTAATACCAGCGTGCTTTGAGGTATCCTTCATTTTGCAACTTTTTAGTGTAATTTGGCTCATATTCTTCATTTAACCCAACTTTTATAAATGGAGTTTGTAACCACATTGATTTTTTCACAAATAAAGAGGATGGAACATACACTTTTTTCATTCTGTAAGGCATGGGACTGAGATTTTATTGATTGATAATAATCTTATTTTGCATCTGTCCCACCCTGGTGATAAATATTACCTGGTCCCTCAGTACAAGACCATTTACCGTAATTTTCCAGGTACATTCCGCATTGGTTGTGTAATTCCTTGGAACGAAGTATCCAGGTGAGTTTAAGTATCTGTAGCATGAGACGGCATATCTATACTTGTTTCCACATCCAGAAGTCGCTAAATTAAAATACCGTATTCCATCCTTTAGTAAGAACTTGTTGGAATCTTATTCAAGTATAATGATTAGTAATACTATCTTTTTTAACGTAAACGGTGTTTAAAGGACAATGATCTCATAAATAGTTTAATGAAGATAGCTTCCTTATTTTGCCAAAAGAAGAAATACTACTCGCTCGATGTAAAGTCTCAAACATTATTAAGTCATTGCCTGTATTGTTTCAATGCAAAGCTACTTTATAAAATCCGTCCTTCTAAAACCAATATTTCAGAAAATTTCATCCTCAAGGAAAAACGTCTTTTAATGTATAAGACAGAGATCACTTTTAAATTTACTATGCGTTGAACTAGAATGTGAGTACTACTACTTACCAGCGTTCTCTGGAGACTGACAATATGTTCCAGTCCACTCCTCAGGACACTTACAGCGTTTACAACTTCTGGGATTCCTGTACCCGCCATTCCTGCACTTTGACCATGTTAATCCTCCAGAACATCTCTCTTCAAAATCGTTTGAAAAACTTAGATACGCTTTATTTTGGAGAAGTATATATATGCATTAACAAGCATTTTCTGAAGAAAAAATATCATTAATAAATATTTTTTTAAACTTTCAATTTCATCAGGTTCAGTGAAACAGTTTAGAGATGTTAAAAACGTTAAAAAATTAAAGCCTTAAGATCCCAAGAAATATAATTTAAAGAACTATAAATATGAAATAAATGTAAATGAAGTATTTCCATTTCGGCACATTTTTCTAATATTAACGTTGATCGCAATATTGCAGACGTTTAAAAATCGTCTAAGTGCACCATTAGCAAACGGATTCCCTGATTTAGTTAATATTCTTGAAAAATGTTAAATGTCGTCTATGTAGTTTTCGTGTTATAAAAACTCAGTATACAATATTTGTCACTGAAAAATTCTGTAAGTTTTCGGACGAATCAAAACAGAAGGGAACAAAAACGTTTTGGTTAGGAGGATGGGGATTAAATCAAATTCCACTCCCGAAAACGAAAAGGGTTAATTAAATTAAAACAAAGAATGGAATGTTAATAATTTTTTTTATTAACGAGATTCTCATTTCTGTCAGTCGCCAGCGTGGCGCAGTGGTTAGAGCGTCTGCTCTAGAGTCTCGGAGTAAGGAGCTGAACCTTACGTCGAGGGTTTAAATCCACTGCGGGACGTGGAGACCGCTTCGGATGAGACCGTATTAACCGAGGTCCCGCTTCGCAGTAGGTGTTGGTACGAAAAAGATCTCCCAATGCTCAATGGCCCTAAGTGCCGAATATAGGTATAAATTTGCAGCCCTTCACCTTCAAATGATGGCGTCTCCATATGAGTGAAAAATTCTCGAGAAGGACGTTAAACAACAAACAAACAAATCATTCCTGTCATATTACGCGACAAAGCTTGATCGCGAAAAATCCACTCTCCTGCATATCTAGTACATACAAGATTTTTCATAGTATTCATGATTGCATTCGATACTATAAACCAAATTATTACCTTATGAAAAAACAATGTGTCATGAAACTTTGGTGATCAAATGTAATCGGAAAAGAGGACTTTCTTTCATATTGACAAGTTAATTTGCCGTGTATATGTTTCAAAGGACAATCGTTGAACTCGATTTAGTTCCGGTGAGAGTGGGTATTCATTTAACTTTTTATATACCTTAGAAAAAAAAATGATGTTCGGACCGAATTTCTGAATAATTTTATTGTGACTCCAGTATTTTTAAACAATTAAATTGCGGTACACTTAATCTTTAATTGTTGCCTCAATTTTAAAGCATTGTTTTCTTTTTCAGTTTTAAACCTAAAACGTACGATCACTTTTCATATAATCAGCATTAAAATAAAGGTTAGTGTGTTAAAAAATGTGTACTGGGGCAATGCCATTTGATTTGACAATTAAAAACAAACATAAAGCAAACAGAATCACACAAAACCTTGTTGAATAATGCAGCATATTTGATTTTAGAAACGTATGTTATTTATTTATTTATTTAATTTAATTAACTAATTGATTAATTAATTTATTTATTTGTTTCAACCTGCAGGAATGTATTGGTTTCCTACAATTCATCATTTTTTTTTTACAATGTTGGAATGACGATAAATAGAAAGTGTTCAAAATGTTAAAAATTAAAATACATGTACTTCTTATCTATAGACCAAGAAAAAAAATCTGAAAATACGTGCTTCAAAAAAGATCCTAGACCTAAAAAAGCGAATTGCATGTCTGTTTTTTTTTTAATCTTTCATCATCAGAACACGCAACCTACGCTTATTTTGAAATTGAAGATAGAAACATTTTCAACATAAGAAATATTCTTTTTGCCAACACATTACATATCACATATGAATAGAAAAATCTAACAATTTTGACTTACTCTGACAATAGTGGTAGTTAATAGCCTTTATGTCATTAAATGACAAACCAGTTTTTTGTCCCATTGTCTTTTCGTAATCTTTTTGCTTGGCAATGATTGTTTTCTGTCCATTTTTTGCAAAAGCCTGTTAAATTAAAGTAGCATATATCTTTCAAATGCTTTTCTTATAAAGTAAAAATAAATTGGTACTAGATGTATTAAAATACATAACATTTATCCACATTTAAAAAAAATGTTCTTACCCTCTCAGAGTAATGCATGATTGATCCGTAATCGTATTTTGTTCCATAGGTAACGCCAGATCTGACCAAAAACTTGCGTTCTTTTCCGCTCACAATGTTATTTTTTAGTATGGTGACATAACTGTTTCTATCTGGTCTACTTTGCTCGTGCCACATACCGAGGGCATGCCCGATTTCATGGAGGATTGTTCCTAACTGAAAATGATACATTTCAATGCTTCATTTAAAACGAAAATTGACTTTAGAATTTTTCCATCTAAATAACACTGGAGTATTAAACCTGAAATTATATACATACACGTTTACAACCATTTCCGAGGTTTATTTCATTAATGCCAGAACTTTTTCTTCCAATATTTGACCAGCATCTATTCAAGAAATATCGAAAAAAAAATCTTAGCTTATTCGATTAATTATTTTCTCTTCTTTCTTTCTTTTTTTACTTTGATGTTTTGCTTCGGTTTTGTTTGTTTGCGTTTTTAATTTTGTTTATCTCTGTTGTTAATAATTAAAAAAAACAAAAAAAAAACCTGGAAAACTAAAACTGACAAATATTCATTTGATGGAATACTGCAGATTTGGCAATTAGCACCAGGGATTTTCCAATGAAATGAAAGGACAAGTGCACTTAAGCAATGCTTAATGGGCCCTTTTTCAGTGCCGTTTTAATTTAGAATATATTACCAAATTGTTCTCTTTTGGTAATAGTTAAACACAAGTGGATATTTCTAATTAAAATCACGTTAAAACATCACCTAAATCAGCATGGATTTGAAACAAATGAACATTTTTAAATGCTTATAGATACCCCAAATCCGGAAAAGTCGTACCGAAACTATTTTGAGTTTTGTTTATTTAAATCAAGGGGAGGAGACCTGAGAAAAAAATTAAATGAAGTTGTATAGATGCCTGTAGCCATAGTGATCAAACTAAGAAATTTGCATGCTTGCATTTGAAATAATACAATAACTACTTTAAATTTTAAAATGAAAAAAGTGTATTTAGGTGGCTTTCAATACCGGTACCATTGTTTTGCATGAATGTTAAAAATGTTTGACGCTTTTATGTATGATGACAGTTTAACGACATTAAACTCTCCTAACCCTCCCGTGTTCCTAAAACCAAATACATGTACATACAAACTTCTCTATGCGGCACGACTTCGATAAAATGATACAAAACGTGGCTATCTTTTACAGTGAGCACCTTTGAGGAATGTTTACCTTGGTACAACTCACGTGACTACAGGTATTTTAAATAATTTATTCCACAGATGGGTTCAACGTAGGTCATACAGGTAAATAGCTCTCGCTTCTATAGGAAAAAACATTGAATTTTTCATACATTTTTAATATTTTAAGTACAAGCCTAATCTTGTACAAATTTCCTACTTTCACACAAGTTTTATAAATGTATAATGCGTTTTTTGTCATTCGCACAAGTTTATACAACGTTAGGCTTACAGTAAACAAAAGCTTTGAAATGAATGACCGTCCTCGATTTACATGTATTATAGAAAATCACGAATGTCGGCTGACCCCTACCACATTGTATGGCTTTGCTCTTTGTACATCGCGTCTTGTATATTCATGAATTTCAGCGATAAAATTTGTTGAATCTTATGGTTTAGATATCAATTAATAATTTGAGATGAAAAATTATGCTTAATTTGATTCTTTATTTTTTCACGTTTTACCGGGGCCCATAAGTGCACTCGTTCTTTATATTGAATGAGGTTATCAGATTACATTATTAAGTATCTTTGACAAAATCACATGCTTATAGCGTGGGGGAAAAAATGCTAACGCTACCCTTGTAGCAAATCGTGAAAATTTAGTAGCGTAGAATTAAACCGACTTACAGTAATTCAGAAATGAATGACATATGCACGAGTATTCTTAGAATAAAATCAATTATTTTTGTACTTTTTAAAGACCATGATTAAAATTAATTTTAAGTGTTTATTTAAGTTTTGATATAAATGATATATATTAGTACAAAGAAATGCAAAAGACATCATACGTATTATTATATTTTTTTTTACCCTTTCGCGTCTTCTTTAAACTTAATCGCTGGTGACCGTATTGTTCCTGTATCTCTAAATGAAACACAAGTTTCCTGCTGCCACATTTTTACTGCTTTTCTAACCATTTCTTCTGTAAATGAAAATGTATCAATGTATTTTCATTCTCATTTCAATAAATAAATAAATAGATAAATGAATAAATAAATAAATAAATAAATATGATTTAAGGTCAAGATCTAGTAAATGAAAAGAGCCTACAGATTTCTCAAACTTGATAAATAAATTCCTTTTATGATGCTTTATAACTATAGCTCGGTCAAATAATGTGTATCGGGGCATAATTTGCAAGAAAACAAGACGAAAAACCATCTCGTAAACTGTCATTTTCAATGAAAAATTAAGAAAGCCAGTCACGAATATGGGAGTTTTTTTTCCATATCAGACGAAGGAAATGTATTCAGATTGCCTACAGTCTCTCAGAAAACGGTAATTTGTATGTTCTTAGCCTCTTCTTTAAAATAATGTAAAATTGAATTTAGGTATCGGGATTACTTTTCACATGATTTTAAATTGAATGCCATGAAAATACTTTATTTTCTACATAATTCTATTGGAGCTGTAAAGTACGGGAAAAGGAAAGTTTAAATTGATTATGACGTCATAATGGATTTAGCACCGAAAAGACGGTCTAAAGTCATTTACTAGATCTTGACCTTAAATTGACAAGAAATAAGTGAGAGAAAAAAAATCTATAGCACTTATTTTTTTTCTTACTGTAGCTAATAAATAATGAAAGTTAAAAATGATAATAAATATCCAATATTTAATCCTTCAATCATTTCATGTAATCTTATTTTTTTTAATTTTATTTTATGAAAAAATAAATATTATTTAAAAAATAAATATTAAAAATATCAAAGTAAATGAAACAACATTTCAAATCATTTGCAAGCTTATGCGAAGAGTATTCCTTTTCCCTACTGTCTTTTGAAGAGGCAAGTTGTATCCTGTATTTGATTGGGAAACTCCATTTTCCGTCTTTACGTACTTTTCTTCTGTCAAATGAATTAGATGTCTATGCAAAATAAAAAGAAAACACAGAATTGATAAGTAAAACATATATCTTGAATGTTTTTTTAAATAAAAAAAAATCATATATATTGTGAATGATACATTATACAGAGTAAATTTTCCGAACAATCCCCTTTCAGTTTATATGAAACTTTGATCATTATTCAAATATCGATTTGTTTGTACGCAAAAAGAGTGATCTAACTGAGATTTTTGAAACTTTAAAATGTTCAGGAAAGGAGACAAGATTCTTTATGTTTTGTACATTTATTCTTGTTTGCTTTAGTCAATATCTTATTAAACCATCTTTAATTCGCGTGAAAAAATATATGTGAGGACTGCAGCACCTTTTTTTCGCAATGAACTATTTCTGGACTTATATAAAATGTTTCCATTGTCGCAAAAATAAATAATTGATTGATTTCAATTAAAACATTGCAAATGTAATGGTTTGTTTAGTTATTACAGAATAGAAGTAATTTAAATATAGTACATGGAGCGAAATAAAACCATCCCTTACAGATATATCAGTTCCATTGTTGTCAAGCCTGAGGTACTGGGGATTCCTTTTGTAAAACTCCACAAGATCTGCCGCTGAGTCTTTATCTAACTTTATATCACCATCAATCATGTCGATTTCTTCAAGGTTTCTTTTGGGTGCCTTTCAAAAACACGATATTTATATATCACTAATGATAATGATATAATACCAATACATTATTTAAAGAAGGTAGCCTGATTAGTGTGGCACACTATTCTTCCTCAGGGCCTTTCAATTACAATAAATATTATATTAAAGAAGCATTAACAATTAGCAATTGAATCATAATAAACGTACAAAGTCATATAATAATATAATAATGATAATAAACACATACATTAGAATGACATATAGGAGTAAAGTTATATCGTGTCGCATTTCTAAGATTTGACACCATATTTATGTACAAAAGATATAAATCAGAGTAATGAAATTCTATCGATTCATTATTAAGCAAATCACATTATTGCGTTTTTCTTCACTTGTATACTTTAGTGTATTTACAAGTTTAAGCAAAATGCTCAAATTCTTCGTATTATGGATGGTTGAAAATACTTCATAATTTTACCTTTAATCCAGGATTGGCTTTGCTAATCATTTCATCCAGTTGCAACAAAGATGATTCCATAGAGTTTTTATAAATTCGCTGTGCTCTTTCCCCATCTTCAAATACGACACTTTGTTGATTACCGTTTTCAAAAATTTGTTCATCAGATCTGTATTCACTACTTTCGACTCTAGAAATTTCTTCTCCCTTTTCTTGTCCTTCGTCTTCTTTTTCTTCTTCAAAGCTTTCTTGTATACTACTACTGCTAGCGCTACCAACTTCATTGTCATTCTCCAGATCTTCCTTAGATTCTATTCCATTTACCTCAAGGTTTTCTCTTGCAAAACTTGTCTCGTCAGCATTTGTTTCGTCGGACAGCTTTCGGAGGTTTTCTGAGGCAAATTTGCCGCTTCCATCCTTGTCAAGAGCACTTGCAACTAGAACTGTCAATAATGCCGTTAAAATAGTTATTTTCAACATCGTGGCTTATAGTTAAAGTTGTTTGACACTCAGTTTCTTTTATACCCTCTAATCCGGATATCTTTTGGAATTCGGATTTTCCCCCCATAGTTAGAGAAAAACAACATTGGATGACAATCACAAACAGGCTTTTTTGAGGTTTTTATTACATAACTGAAAACCCCTTTACTGGATTTCCAGTTCAACATTTAATATGCTGTTTCATGCTATGGAAAGATTTACGGTATTTCCAAAGTATCTAAAACAAGCAAAGATATTATAGATATAATCAGCAATGTGCCTTAAAAACATCTTTAATATTTTCAACGGTTTTTTAAAATACTGTATAATTTATCATTGATTATGACCACCTTTATTCCTCGATTGTTTTTGTATTATTTAAGGGTATAAAACCATTAATACATAAAAAATAGAAATAAAAAATAAATGAAAGAATTTATTATATAGTCTATTTATAGTCCCTATATAATCTATACAAACGCAAACAGTTCATAACACTACATATCCACTGCTAAAGTGAACTATTTTATGTATATCCTATTCATAAAATAGTTCAGTCTTGCACTCCTCCTTACTTCAAGTTGAAGTCTACACCCTGCATTTTCTACAGATTTTCTCAAACTTTCTAACTTTCATAAACCTTGAAGTGCCTAGAATTTCCATATCTAATACAATATTCCCCTTATTATTCTTTAT